CCTAACACCCTAACACCCTAACACCCTAACACCCTAACACCCTAACACCCTAACACCCTAACACCCTAACACCCTATTCCTATTATAAGAAGTTTCTAAGAATACTTGCCAGTAAAGCTTTCTCTACTTATTATTCATCTCAAATTTTAGCCATATGTCTTTCATCTTAAATTACGAGATTCCTGAATTTTAATTAAACCAATTTTCTCCAACTGTTTACTCATTATTGGGTAAATGCAGTTATAAATTTTAAAATATGATTTAGCTCACGCATTGCGCATTGTGCAGACAGAATTACTATGCCAAATATTATTCAAAGTTCATGATTAGTAGTATTTTTCAATCGGATTTTAGACGTATTTACAGTTGTCTAACTACTGAACAAGTATCTCTCAAATGACCCTATTAGATATAAATGTAATTGGTGTTTTGAAAAAAATGCTTCATATATCGTTAATTTTCTAATCTACATAGCGAGTTGAAAATAATCGACTTGTTATTTCCATAGCAAACTTCAAACATATTTAGAAGAAAGGGTCCAAACTTCCTTCCCATTTGAAAATGCTAGCTGCATCAAGATAAATGTTTAGTACTCAGAGATATCAGATTATTAAGAAGGTAAATACTTTCTACTAAATGGAAACTGAACATAGTTCTAACCATCTTCCTTTTGCTAAAAGCGTCACTTTCTAAACTACAAAGGACAAAACTTAGAACAGTTTTATATCAATGTTGCGATAGAGATTTTCGATAATCTGTAAATTCCAAAGACGAGTGCGGTATAAAAAATAAGTCACTTGAAAATGAAAGAAAATCACTTCATACTTGAGGAGGAACGCGGCTTACAAAGTTAATAAGTTCGTAAATTCAATGCATAAGATATCGTTTCTAAAGATAATAATAACAAGTTTAAATTAAATGAACAGTACGCATATATATACGCTTTTAATGATACATATCGAAGAAAGGATCGAATCTTAATGTCAAGACTCTGTGCTATTCGCAACTAGACATCCTTCAAGAAATTCGAGATTAATGTCAGCCCTGTTGACAATAAATTAGAAATTGTCAGCGAAGAAGAAGAGCTGTTGGATCCCCCTAAGTCACCCACAAGATTTGAAGCAGCAGATTCAAGGGTTGAGATCACACTTCCCAGTGTAGAATTTGAATTTGAACTTGAAGATGAGCCTAAAAGACTGGAAACAAAATTCTCACCAGAGGATAAAAGGGACGAAATTACACCTCCCAGTGTGGAATTTGAGCTCGAAGATGATCCTAAAAGGCTAGAAACTAAACCTTCCCCGGACGACAAAAGGGTTGACAAAATGCCAGAAGAAGTTGAATTTGAAGAATCTGAGGATGAACCTAAAACATCGGACACTAAACCTTCTCCCGCTGATAATATCGAGGAGAAAAAGCTAGATGACGAAGTATCATTTGAAGTTACCCCTGGGCCAATTTTGTCACCAACCAATGCTGAAACTAATCCCAGGCCAATTTCACCTAATCCAGATAAACTTCCTTCGTCAAAGAAATCACTAGTAGATGTAGAAGATTGACAACTTGGGTTTACTTCAACTCCATTAAATCTATCTTTGATAAAATTAAAGGCAAGACCAGCTCCAGAAACTGCAGTTATAATGTGGTCAGATATTCTATCTTTCCTGTATTCTACGCTCACCCCTTGCTCACAGTACAGTTCAACCAAAGCATCAGTATCTTCAATGGGGATAATTTCATCATTCTCACTGGAATATATGAAAAGTGGGCAACTAGGAGTTAATCCATTAGTTAGTAAATTATTATGATCTGTGATATTTTTGACAGTAGAGTCATACAAGATTTGATTTCCTTCATCTAAGTAATCCGAGAAGTCAGCAAACGCATATACGAGAACACTCTCAATTAAACAATAATTATCAGCTTTGGCAAATTTTGCATATTTTTCACTACCCATTTTCTCTTGCATAAGCTCCTTCAACTCTGGGTATTCATTTTTAAGACCGTTAATTGCCATTACAACTAAACCTGCGAATACCGATCCCATATCATACACGGCAACATTACTGATATTCACCGGAATACCCCCCATTGCACTTCCAACTAAGTTTAATTCAGGATAATAAGTTGGTTGCACCAGTGCTCCCCAACCTGTTGCGAATGCTCCACCGGAATAACCCCAAAGTACAACATCTGCGTCCTCGTTGATTCCCGTTACATTTGCAGAGTTGAATGTACCTCTAATTGCATTCATAACTGCATAAGCAGCCAGCCATCCAGCAACATAGGTGGCCTTTGGTCCTTCATGATCAGGAACTAACACGTAGTAACCATCTACTAAAGATGTAACAAATAAAGCCTCTTCTAACTCAGAGGTCACCCAAGAAAGAGGAGATGAGCCAATCTGCATTGCATAAGAAGGAGCACAGTCAAAGCAAGAAGCATCTTGAGCCACTTGATAAGAAACTAATTTACTTGGATCTGGATTGTATGGTACAAAGAGAGTACTCATTACAGCTATTGGTTGTTTAAAAGTATCTTCTGAGCGTACTAAAATTTGATAGACAGACTCCACGTGAATAGGCAATACAACAAAACCATAATTGGTGTCCATCTTTCTAATCCTTAAAACGCTTCCTAAAGGCTGGTCTTCATATCCCTCTGGCCCCGTATAGAAGGGGTCTTCACTAGGCTTTAAAATCGAGGCCCTTTTGGAGATGTCAATAATCGGGGCTGCGATTATCGATTGTAAAAAAAGTATTATTAAAAGAACGAACTTCATCTCAATTAGATGATTGATAATTGTAGAGTGCTACATTTAGAAGAACTCCCACACACTTAATAGGGGATTCGATAGACTTATATAGACGAGTTTAGAATAGCATCTGAAGTCGTTGTCATGCGAAATTGAACATAAATGGGGAATTATTTCGATGCTCCGGTTCCTGCAGCAAGCGGCTTACTACATTCGAATAGCCAACTTACTTCAAAATAGTTCAACTGAATTAAACTTTTTGAATTATTTACTTCATCATGAAAATTGGAGAGCTTTAAAAGAAAGGCTTCCTGAAATATTTCGCAGAACCGGAGAGGACTTGGAGTTTTCTTGATTTTGAAGAAGCTTTTTATACATTATCATGATTAGTTTTTCATTTGAACCTAGTAAGGTGCATCTACTTGCAGTGTCTAGAAACTGGTTGTTCTAATGTTAGCTATTTTCATACCTCACATCACTGCATATGGTAAAAACCAATTTAAGAAAATTTCATGCAGGTTCTCGAAGATTTGAAAAAAAATTGTCGTTTTGGGAAGTAGGCTCCATCGTTTCCCCACCATTCGCCCCAACTTTAATTTGTTCTTAGACTGCATGTCAAAAACCGCACAGGCAGAAGTAGTAATATTTCACAAGAAAGGAAGAAAGTTGATTCTTATTCGGGAATTCACATATGTCAAGAATAATTTATGGGTAAAGTATAATATTCAAAATACAAATTGCTCTTCTAGTGAAGTTTTCAAATTGTATTACCATAATAGATCTATTAGTCTATTGGTAAAAGCTGAGTATTCACCAGGAGGGGAAATATTTTGTAAAAGTGAACTATTTGGGTAATCTGAATGAAAGTTAGAAACTTGAGTATTGTATAGCAAGTCTGATTAGGGAAGTATTCTCCGTGAATCTTTTTATTAGAATGTAACTAGAGAGATAAATAGGTGGTTTCTAGTGATTGAATTAATAAGAGAAAAATACATCGTGTCAGAGCTTAAATCCCTTTCACAAGCAAACATTTGCAACTAATTGCGAATATTTAATGCATACTTTTGAGCTGAATTAGATCCGTAGTAACATGCTCCAGAAAGTAACACGACTCGAATTATAGATTTCCTAATTATAGCAATCAAGGACTTTGTATAAGTGTATTCTGACGTATTTCGGTATTTGAATGCTTAATCCCTATGTGTTAATTTCTCCGAGTAGCACCTTTTTGTTCTTGGCGGGCGAAACGGTTATTTTTAGTTCTATTTTGACTTTTAGCGAATTTTCACTCTTTAATGCAACAAGGTAAATATTCTGCACCACTTGATTATCATATTGGGTCCGGCTGTATAGTCTGTTTCCTATATTCGGCACAGGCAGATATGGAAACTTCGAGCCAGGCATAGTACGCAGAGAACTACCTGCTTAATCTACATCACAGACAATTCAATCAAAATATCACTTTCCATGCACCCCTATTATATTCTTCAGAACGATATAGCCTAATGGATCGTTACCTGTAACTTTCTGTGACTTCTAGGAGCTAGATTGGTTCTCTTCGCTAAATTCAAGCTAGAATTGGCACCACATATTTTCGCTTTAATTTCATTTCGGTGTCCGGATGATAGAATTTAGTTATCAGGACTTTTTAGGGCTGCAAAAATCAAATGAGAATAAAGATTTACATTTGATCAATTTCTCTCTCACTGAAGATATTTTCATGTTATCAACATCTTCCAGCCCTCAAATGCTGTATAAAGTAATGCCGCATCTATTGCGTAGTAAAACAATTAATGCATGACTATTAGAATGACATGGTTGGCCCATGTGTAGATTTGTTGTCATACTAAATGTGAAATTTACATTTCCGAGCATGGGTCCGAAAATTTGAGGAATTTTCGGACTTTCGGACTTTCTTACTGCAAACCATTGACAGAATCACATATACTCACCTTTTTTTCTACCAAATTTGTTCGGAATTCGAAGAGAATACATCAAGACTGTGAGATATTAAGATAGATGAGGTATATCGTCAAAAAGCGTGCTTCACTCATATAAAATGGTATGGTTTAATAGTATTCTGACATAAAATTTAGCGAAACCCCCACATGCATGACGCCGCACAGAGTTTATTTTGGAACAATAATTAATCCAATATAATGAACGATGATCATCTTTTCTACTTGATTCCAGTTAATATAAGTAGTAGTCCAATCCTGAATAGTATGAAATTATATTTAGACAGCATATAAATACAATCTCCGACTGTGTATCTCTACCTTATTAGAGTTATATTATTTGCAAACGAAACAAGGAAATATGCTGCAAAATGACCAAGAAGAAGATTATTTCCAAGTAGAATGTAGGGCCGATTTGCAAAGCTTGTATACGGAAATACTGTCCGTCAATGAGGAACTTTCTTATAACATATTACCTCTGTATCAGATGTTCTCTCATACAGTTAACAAAAGCTGTGAAATTGAATTTGAAAATAATTCCGCTCCTCCTAGCTACCAAGAACTTACAAATTCAGGGAGATGTCTTGGATGTAACTCTTTACCTACATCTACATCGCAAGCATCATTGATAAACAGCTCCAGTAGCCAATCAGCCTCTGAAGCAACAAGTAATCAAGAGAATATACTCAATAACGTCTTAAAGTTGAACAATATTACTAATTCGTTGACAAATAATTATTCAAAATCAGTAAAGTTGAGCATTGTGCTTACTGAAGATGAAGGGACAAGTGAGTTTACCGAGCTTCGGGCTAAGAGCATAGAATATTCTCAGACAGACACAATCTGTGGGTATGTGTTGATAGAAAATACTTCAGCAATACCTATCCCCTTCGAAATATTTTATGTCTCACTACAGGGAGCTTTCGAAACAACAGACAAAATTCTGAAATCGCATAATAGGGAAAAATTCCTTGAGATGATAGATTTAAGTGCATCATACGATAATCCTTTCAATGTTAGATATAAAGATACGGAAATGTTGTGCTCAATTGATGAAGATTTACTTCAAAGAAATATAGGTCCAAAAAGGGTTTATAAGAGGTTCTTCAGTTTCAAAATTCCAAATCGCTTGCTTGAGGATAGTTGCATTCATGATTGTTCGACTCACATTGAACTACCACCAACTTTAGGCATCAGGAATGTTGAAGCAAGTATTAACTATAGCATTGAGGCAATACTAATTGGAAAAAATTCGATGTACGAGCATTTCGATAAAAATAATACTATTTCAAATAATTTTCCTGATCGTTACATTGTTCTCAAGGAGATCACTAAAGATTTAAGAATTGTTTCTCTTGACACTGAAACAGCTAGCTACAGTTCGGGAACTGTATCATATGAAAGCTTACAAGATGAAATTGATTTCAATTTGAATTCGCTAGCCGAGTTAGAAAGTGACCAGACTACTAATTTCAAAAGAGCCAATTCAAAAACTGCTTATCATGTCATCAATGATCCTAAACCGCTCTTGGAGCTGCATGCATGCGAAACGGCTTCGATGAATTCAAATAAGTCACAAGAAAGGTGCTATCAATATGAAAACTTTCAACGTGAAGTGGAAAATTTTCAAATAATATGCCACTGCCCAGTGAAAACTAGAAAAGGATTGAAGAAGATTATTGAAGATTATTTTTTCACCTCTCCTAATGTTTCCTATAAGATAGATTACATAAAACCTCCACAATACCGTCGACATGAGTTAATACAAGACCGGCTGTGGAAATTTGATATCCCATTTAACTTGACTAACCAGCATTTTAAGTCTGCACCAATCTTCAAGAATGTAACTGCCGAATTGGTCTCTTTAACAATAATTAGCAAAGTATCATCAATTCCCGTTGAAATTAATCATAATATGGTATTTCAAAATGGAAATGAACTAACTTTTGATGACATTGTTGTGAAGCCTATGAGACGAAAGCTCGAAGCCTTAAGGGGGTTTGCTAAGAGAATGGAGCCAAATACAGTCAGAATGAGCTCATCTTTGATTAGGGATCTCGAGACCATTTCTAGTCTAACTTCAATTTGCGTTGTGATGGACGTGAATGAAGTAAAATTGACCCCAACGTCCTCTTCAAGTACTGGTGTCAAAAATAAAATGTTACAAGGAACTTATAATATTAGCGTCGATCTTACCAAATCAGCTATTAAATATCGTAAACTGAGGGGCATTGCCTACGATAGTTTTTGCTTAATTCCAAGTTTTCAAAGTTGTAAATTAGCCAGGATATACTTTCTTAAGTTAAAATTGGAATGTCTGAATGGTTTTGCAATCAATTTTAAGGTACCTATTGAAGTTAAAAAAAATAAACTTTAATCTCGTACATGGCCCTTTGAACTACATTAAATAGACATACTTGAGTTGAGCCGGACTCCCCTTAAAGTTATAAGTCATATATTTTATATAAATTTAATCACAAATATCGATAACATTAAGTACTCGTGCTGAGACCAAGACTTGGTGGGCCAATAGGTTTCTGCAAAAGTGTCATTATAGCAGAAACTATAATCTCACTAAATCCAGTGAGACCTGCTGGTGTTATCACACTAGTAAATGTAAAGGACTTTTTACATCCTTGATTCACGGGAATACCGTTGAAACGATCTTTCAACCACAAAAATGCACTTCCAGCTCCAGTTACAGCAGAGACTATATGACCTCCTAGTAAATCTTGGTTATACTCAATATCGACGCCAGCAGCACAGAGCCTAGAATACAACTTATCAGCGTCAGCAGCAGGGATAATTTCATCATAAATTGCATTGTAAAAGTAAAGTGGGGCAGTTGGAACGAGAGGTGAAATGATCATATTTTGGGCGTCTGTTACGTTTTTAACAATTGGATCGGAAAGAGTAGCGGAACCAGCCCTGAAGAATTCATCCCAACCTTTAAAAAGAAATAAAGGAATATAGACAATTTCACATAGCTTATTTGGTAAAGCAAAAAAGGTCTGCTTGTCTGGGTACACATTATCAGCAATATACTGTTTAATACTTGGATATTCATGGGATAAACCATTCATTGCAGCAAAGAGAAGCCCAGCAAAGATATTGCCCACATTTTGTTTAGCAACATTTGCGACATCTGCAACAATTCCACCATACGCGTAGCCAATTGTTTGCGGACTCAATTCAGGAGCGTAAGTTGGCTCTAGCAAAGCAGCCCAACCTGTTGCAAGTGATCCTCCTGAATAGCCCCAATAAGCTATTTTTGGATCAGCTGCCAATCCCGTGATATTTCCAGATTTCAATACAGCTCTGACTGAGTTTAAAACAGCTCTTCCTGCAAGTTGTCCAGATCCAAAGGCGGCATTAGGACCCTCATAGTCAGGTACAACAACATACCAACCCTCTTCCAGTCCAGCTTGAACTAGTAATTCTTCAAGTTGAGAAGACACAATAGAAATTGGATTGGAACCTAATTGGAAGGCATAAGAGGGGGCGCAATCAAGATTTGATGCATCCTCGGCAACTTGATATGAAAGAAGCTTTTTTGGATCACCATTGTATGGGATATAAAGTGCAGTTGCAACTGCAAGTGCGTTACCAAAAGAATCTTCCGAACGAATAATAAACTGATATACTTCCTTAATCTGGAAAGGAACTACGACTAACCCAACTGTGTGATCCAATTTACGTGTTTTCAAAATTGTACCAAGTGGTTGGGATTCGTACCCTGCAGGAGGAGTGTAAAATGGATCTTCCGATGGAGGAGTGGGAAGAAAGTCCCTGGCCCTCAACGTTGACTTAATAGGAGGAGGAGCAGCATAAACAGCGCAGAGAAGAGTAATGAATATGAGATAAACCTTCATTTTAATTGTGTACGACTTATCAACAAAATGAAGTCAGTGAAAACAGGAAACACCATACCATTTTATAGGTAGAGAATCATTTCAGTTGCATTTTGCAATTCACTGTAACGTATTCTGCATTTCCATTTTAAGTATATCTATTTCCTTTTTGGTCGTAGTCGTCTAACATGTATACTTAAGAATACTATCTTTTAAACGGTTAGTGATTATCAGAAATTCACAACTTCAATTTTATGGCGTACTATCATTGTTGTATTACTTTTGCATTTCGGAACAATAGAAAGAAGTCAATTATGCAAGTTACGCACTTAAGTATTTTTTTTTTTATGAAACTTCGAAAATTGGCTTCCAGCGCATTTTCCCCTGCATAGTCTTTGCAACATACGACAAATAAGGTTGGTACATCTTTTAATTGGAAGGAAAATTAAACATACTCTAGCTAGGCAATGTACTCGCTACTACATACAAAGCAAAGTACTTAATTCTTCAAATTATGTATAAGTTAAATTCTCAAATGAAAGTTTGAGAAGAAATAAATGTTGGTGAATAACAATGAATAACAACTTGGCTCGTGCTCCAGCAAGCCTTAAGTCTTCACAAGTAATAAAACTCAAGAACTTCACCCAAAGTACAAATCTAAAATAAACATACCTGCCTACTCATCCTTCACAATAGACGCGAAAGAAGAATTTCAAGTAGCTCTACCGAGAACTCGCTTATTCTCGCAAAAATAGTGTATAGGGTGAACTGTTCCTGAAATGAATCTATTTTTGTCTTGAGTTCTAATTCCCGAGAAAGTTTAATACACCATATAACTATTGGCAATTCGCAATTTACATCAATTGATAGAAAATAATCTGAACAATGTATGAAACATGAGCATTGTTCGAGGAATTTCATATTTTTTGGACCTGCTTCCTCGGGATCATTCTGACTTTGTTTGTTTCTCACTATCCGATTGGAACGTATAGCTTAAAAACTATCAACTGTTCCCCGGGTGAATTCAGAAGAATATGTAAACACGCCCCACTAACTATATGAAATTTAGGAGTGAAAACACCAACAACGCCTTATTACAACATTTAAAACCATTTCTATGCAATGAGCATCGGTCGCTATCCGACAGAACAATCAATTTAAGTAATCATATGTCAACACTAATACTTCGAATAGTCAAGAAAAATTTGCTAATACCTTACTCTTCTTGACTTTTCTTGAATTAAGTTACGAATTACAAATTCTTTAGCAAAGCCAATTCCTCCCTCTTTTTGAAATTAAATATCAGCATAAACAGGAGGTGATATATTGATAACACGTTTATCCTTGGAACTATTCTCGTAGGACGGAGGTATTGCCATGTTTTCAAATTGCAAAGTCGATTTAGTTATATCTTTAACTGTGTGCTCTCTTTCAAAATTGCGATTCTTCTTTGCCAACTTTTCTTTCCTTTCCTTGACTAGCTGACGAACTAGAATTATTCCAAATACTATAGGTAACACAAATAACATAGTGCCTAATTAAACAATGAATGAGTAAAAGACCAAACTTGATGACTATCGGAAGTTACTCCCTTTTCACTTTTGTTTCTCGCCTCCCGTTCAGAGTGATCACTGAAAAGTTAAAATTCCGAACTTAATTTTCTCATAGATAACGAATTTTGCACTGTCAGGATTTCCACGACTTGCTTGATCTTCCACACCAAGTATTGTATACTAATACAGGGATGGTGCTCTGCAATTTGAATAAATTGCTCCTAATGTATGTAGATTAATTTTCAATTATAATTATTATTTCTATGTACATCTGTCTTTTTGTTTAGATAACTATTTAAATTCTTATACCTTCCACTTAAACTTCTGTTTAGGAAAAGCCACTGCAGTTCTCAATGCAATAAGACATATAGAACTGGCTAATAGTAAAGCTCCATTATAAATGATCAGTCCTCTGTATTCACTGGACTTAGAACCACCTCCTGTAATGAACAACCCTGCTATTGGACTGCCACACAAGCTGCCAATTCCCCTAGCAAAGTACATTAAGCCAGACAAGGATTGATAGTTTTGAAGCCCAAAGAGCTCTACCAAGCATGTCGGAAGTAAGGCAATTATTGCTCCAGTAAACACTCCGTACAACACAATAAAAGATATGAATGTTTCTCTGGTACTTATCAACCACAATCCAAATATTGTCGTCGCACTTAAAAGACTACACACGGTAATCATATTTAGTCTTCCTAATCTGTCAGCAGCATAACCAATAATTACTTTGAATATAGCATTGACAGCATTATTAACACCGATAAATAAGGCACCTTGGTCAAGGCTGAAACCCAATGTTTGACCATATTTTGACATATAGATCAATGGGATCAAATATCCGGCACTTTGAAGAAAGCTGGCAAGTAATTGCAACCAAACCTTTAAAGAACCTAACTGGTTCATCTTGAACAAACCTCTTGAGTGTGCAACTGAATTAAAAGTTTTAGGTTCATATACTAAGAAACTTGCAGCTCCGGTTACAAAGAGATTCATGAATCCTAATATTCTTACACACCACCTCCAACCTACGTGTGCTATAAGGTATCTACTAAATGCAGCCATTGCCAAACCCCCGAAACCCGTACCACTAAAAACTATACCCATAGCAATACTTCTGTTCTTGTCGAAATACGCAGGTGCACAGACCACAGGAGGGAGATAAAGAAATGATGATCCAATCCCAAACATTATTCCCTGAGTTAAAAGAAATTGGTAATATTGATTTGCAAATCCGGTGAGAATTAGTCCTAATGACATGATGGTTGAGCCTATTAGCATTATTTTGGTACAACTTAGGTAATATGTAAGTGAATTGTTAAACACGCCAACAGCGTATGTTAGCGCAGTTCCCAAAGTACCAATCAAAGCCACCATTGATGCAGATTCAGATTTCAAGGGACCAATTTCAGAGGTGTAAAAATCTTGGAAGACCCCATATGAGAATGCTATTCCAAATATCATAAAATTGCAAGTGAATCCAGCTGCTACACACATCATTCCTCTTTTGCGTTCATCACTTTCGCTTACGATCTCCAATGAGGTGGTTGAGACATTTGTTGTAATATCTTCGGGAGTCAAAGAGTCAAGCGCAAATTCTTCGACTCCAGAATTTCTGGTATAATTTGTATTCGAATTCATCGTATATATCTACAATCAGAATGCTCAAATTCGAATATACATAGGGCTTGATCTGGTTTGCTTCTCTATTTTAAATAAATAAATATTGGTGAAAAGTTGTGACTCAACGGGAGAAATGCGGAATAAAAAATCCGGGGTAGGTGCATATGTGCATATTGTCAACGCCCTGCGAAGGAGCCGGTTTAAATGATGCTACAGCCGATGATGACCAAAGTGCGTTATTGCTCCTATGCTCTTTTGGGCTGCTCATTATGCCGTAGAGAAGGTGTATTGTAGGATACGACAGCTTCATTTTATCTTTTATAATTTCTTTCTAGGTATAGGCGAGTTTGAATGCTTGATTTGACTTTGACTTTGTTCGGGCCGATCATTCGCAGGGCTGATCAAAGATTCCTACGGAGGGTATAAAATACGAGTTGACGAAACTCGGACCTTGGGGCTACCTAAATTGATATTGCTCTTACCGAGTTACAACTTTACAATTTCATCACGATGTATACGAAGTATATCATAATACAGTCGGAGGAAAAACAACTGTTGCTTTGTACCTGAACTTCAGAAAATGCTTCCGATACCAAAGAAAAGATCAATCGATAAAGAAGAGAAAAAAGAACAAGTACAAGTAAAGAAAAAAAAAATAATAAATATGACCTTTTAAATTTATATGATCTATGATAGACTAAAGTTTATTCCTTTTCATATGTTATTCTTGTAGCCATAGAAATTGGGGTGACGAGCTGATAATGTATTCTTTCAGTTTGCATTGGTGGGCTTCGGCTTAGATTTTTCATCCTGCGGTTGATAATGCGAATCTAAAAAAATACTGCAACACTGCATAATTCCTACAGCATAGTTAGCATTTACTTCTATTCATGTCTATAAATATATAACTACCAAACTAATTCAGTACCATCGTAGTTCAAAAACTTTCCATTGAGCTCTCTGTTCAACTTATCAAATACCTCCACTTGCTGAGTAGCACTTGACTCGGGAGTAATTGCCAAGCCCTTTAATGCTTCACTTACATTTGGATCAGAAACCTTTGCAACTGCGTCATTTCCCATATCAGTAGTGACCACACCAGGATGGATAGAGATAACGGTGAATTCTTCAGCATCTAATTCAGAACTGATTTCCTTAACAGAATAATTTAAAGCTGCCTTCGACTGACCATATGCGGAACTGCTCAAAGGGAAGTAATTACCAATTGAACCGGCAACACTAGAAACAAATCCAATTTGTCTAGTCTTCTTCTTGAGTAAGTAAGGATATAAAACTTGGAAGAGCAAAATTGGACCCAATACATTTGTCTTATAATGATGAGTCCACACCTTACGTGGAGCTTCCAATACTGTAGCATATGCATCTGCAATACCTGCATTTGAAATAAAAACGTCCACACCATCTGCAGCAACTTTCTGTAACTGAGCATCTAGAGCATCAACGCTTTCCTCGGAACTAACGTCCAATTGAAGAATTTCAACTCTGCCGGTGCTAGCCTTCAATTCAGCAAGCTCCTTTGCAGCTTCGACATTACGAGCAGTAGCAATGACCTTGACGTCTGGTCTTTGAGCTAATATTTTGGCAATGCTGAAACCAATACCACGGTTAGCTCCAGAAATAAAATATACTTTCGACATTTTTGCGTTTGATTTGTTAATTTAATAGGGTTGAGAAATTTAGTTTTCTTAAAAAGATATCAATTGAAACTTTTTTAGTTAATAAATCTAAGAATTGTACATTTTAAGGGATACTTGCACAGCTTTTTATATGTCAACGTGAGGTACTAATGCTCTACGCTTAGCTCTTTCAGGCGTACGCTATCAGATACCATTTGTCATTTGCATTATTAAGAGGTTGATTTTTACAAATACAAATGACAAATACAAATGACAAATACAAAAGAATGCAATTGCTGACAAACTTTACCGCGCATTGATTTTAATCGTAAAAAATAATGTGTCAGTTCCCCTTTTGATTTGAACCCGAACTGACATATTTACTATCCCAGTGGTAGCTCCTGCAAGTGTATTTCCAAACCACACAATACTAATGATATAATACTAGTCTCATTATGCTAGCTGGGATTATGCTGATCAAACTGGTAGTAAAACTCCCGGTCAATTGGATACTATTATCTCGCCATCGCATTTTCGAGCTTGTTCGACATGGTGACCTAACGTACTTCCAAATGTGACAGAAAGCCGCACACAACGGTTGCAAGCACTTCTGTTTTAAAGTTGAAGTATAAACTAAACCTAGCCTAATCTTTATCTAATTTTAAAAAATACTTAGCACGCTCCCAAACAAGTATGTTGTTATATATCATATTATAAATATCACAATAAATATAAAATTACCAAACTAATTCTGTTCCGTCGTAGAACTTTCCGTTGTGCTCCAAAGCTAAGTTTTCAAAAAGATTAGCTTGCTGGTTAATACTTTCTTCTAGAGTTACTTGCATCTCTTTCAATTTACAGGCAGTACTTGCATCAGTAGTACTTTCAACGGCAGCATACTCTTGTCCTTGGAGACTGCTCCAGGGTGGAGAGATTTGACAGTAAATTCTTCAGCCTGGGATTTCACGTACTTTAATCAATTCTGAGCAGGATACAGAGGCACGGAAAAGTAGACAAAAAAAGTACAGAAGGGACCGAAGAGAACAATGGAAGGAAGAAAAGGCAAAAAAAAAGCAGGAAAGGGCAAAAATAGTCGGCATATCATAATAAGGTTGTACTTAAAGGATTTTGTACCTCGAAATTACCTACATTGACATTATTCTAGTCTAGTTACAGTTGTCACTTTCATCACAGCTTCTTCTATAATATAGCACTGGGAGATAATCCATTAATAATATTCATTGATAGATTAGTAGGAGGGTAATGTTTTAAAAAGGAATTGAACCTATACCAAATGCAATTTATATATTTTGTATATAAGTAGCTAACTAACGTATAGTCTATTGCACTAATGGATACTTTCCAAGGCTTTTGTAATATCAGCTATCAAGTCTTCTACATTTTCTACACCCACACTGACTCTTAATAAAGTTACAGGGCATGTAGAATCACTTATAGGTCTCCATTCAATCAAGCTTTCCACTCCGCCTAAGGACGTCGCATGGTGGAAATATTCTAACTTCGATGGAAACGACCTGGCCAATTCTTCAGTTTCTAACTCTATGCAAAAAATTGGAGAATGGCCATTAGGCATTTGCTTTGCAATAAATGCATCCTTTTGTAATGAGCCATGTGAAATTTTCACAAGTTTAGGGAACTTATGTTGATTGGCACTCAAATACTCAACAATTTTGGTAGCATTAGAAGACTGCCTTCTAATTCTAAGTTCAAAAGTTTTCAAACTTCTAATCAAGAGAAACGATTCTAAATTAGCAATAGTAGAACCTAAAAGTAAACGTTCGTATACCAAGTCATTCTTAACCTTGTCGGATTTTGTTAATAGAATTCCAGCCAATAAGTCACTGTGACCACCAAAAAACTTTGTGGCCGAGTGGATCACTAAATCTGCACCCTGTTTAAAAGGATCCAGCAAAGGAGGAGGAGCAAATGTAGCATCTACGAGTAGGAGTGCCCCACGAGAATGGGCAATGTTTCCGAAAAACTCTAAATCGAAAACCTCACCATCAGGGTTAACAGGGGTTTCTACATATATCACATCACCAGTGCTCAATTGAGTAGGATCTTTTGCTACATCTTGGAGAGTGATTTGCTTTAAATTAGTGAGTTTGGAGAAAATCTTTGTGATTCCATGAGTTCCATGATATCCAAGTCCAATTGCGACTGTCTTTGGGTTAAAGTAGGTGAAGGCAGCAAAGATTGATGCAAGCCCGGAACTATATGCCACAGCTTTTGCATTAGTTATGGTTCCAATGATTTCTTCAGCTGCTTCTGAATTTGGATGAGTCAATCTTGAATAATAGTGATCACCAATAATTGAATCATATGTTCTATCAACTGCCTTCACATAAGTGCTGGGATCTTCAGAATACCTAAACGTGGTAGTGACGTTGATTGGTTGGATCACATCACTGACACGAGATAACTTATCCGCTGCATGGATCGAGTTTGTACCAATTCCTGCCATTATAGAATTACGAGCGTGAGCAAAATAAAAGGGAGCTTCAACGGAAAAAGAAGAAAAAAAAAGAACACAAGAGTGAAAAAGAGTAATAGACCACTGAGCTTATATACTTTTTCTTGAGAAGGAGACAACTGTGGATCGCATCAAATCGCATCACTGACAATTTTCGGAGCTTAGACCAAAGCGTTCTGAGCAATAGGTGCATAGGCAAACTTGGTCCAAAATGTGCAACACTGATTTCTATCGAATTGCAAAAAGTGGAACAGGGAAACATAAATTATGAACTCGATAAATACATAATAATTAGTGTAAAAATAAAGAAGGTGAAGGATTTCCAGTAGATATTTTATAAGCAATGTAACAATGTGTAGTATTGTGTGCTTTGGCGCTACCCATGATACATTATTAAGTAGCTCTGTTTACTTCTTGCTCACTGGTGATTGGACAGTACACAATTCTAATTACTTATTGCTCAGTACTCGTTTCTTATTTCTGAGTACTCAATTCTTAATTCTCACTACTCAATTCTCGCTTCTCGCTTCTCACTACTCAACACTCACTGTTTACTAACTCACTACTCACGACTCACTACACTACTTCAACTCAATGCACATGGAAGTATGCAGTACAGTAAAGCAATGTGGCAAGGATAAGCAAACTACAGTAAGGCATACAACCACAAGCACACAGCATCCAAAGAAAAACTATACCCCAGCCTTTCCGTTGTCTCATCAAGAGACGCTATCCACTATCTATTCAACTCTCGCCAACTACAATGAACTCCCAGAAGTGCGGCTCACCACTGTATGCCCTCTAGCGCATCTTCCTGTCCTCGACTGTACACTCCCTAATTTGTATGTAGATAAGAAGCTTGATAGGAAAAACAGTGTGTGCGCCCACCAGACATCTTTATTCCTTACATGCACGAATTTTTTGTGCACAAATTGTGCATGTGGAACTTTTCAATATTAAGGTCCGTACTCACCACACACTGTGGCGAAAGATCAAGAAGTATTAGTAAAAGGAGGACTAGAAAAGAGCCAGACAATGCAGGAAGACACACTAGTGCTAAAGCGTGTGTTAGCTATGAGCTTTCTATATGGTTTTATTCTTTTTGCCGGCGGAATTAGGGCTCTAGCGGTGGAGAGCGGAGATCGCGTAGCAAGAGATTTAGATACCAGCACGATCGCAGTACTGCAGTACTCCAAACCACAAGAATCCGAAGTTCCTGAACCTCCCAGCTCCATAGTTGACATACTTTCGTCAAACATCCAATATCTGTACTTTCTTAGACAGCTCCAGCGGAATGGGCTAATCCCCTTTCTCAATTCCCTCAGTAACGTGACGCTATTGGCGCCTGTAAATCTGGCATTTGCGGGCTCCTTCGGTACGAAGTTTGATTGGGACAACAACGACCTTTTGAGATACGTCTTAGACCAGGTTGTGGTCACGGAAAACTTGGGAAATGACAGCGTGATATATAATACCTACTACAACAGAAACAAAGATCATACGAGCAAGGGCGGTTCTTACCCGGTGCTTGTTTCCCATGTTGCTGAGCTGGACGAGTACATAATAGACCAAGAGGCCACCATTGTAGAACCAGATATATATGCTCTTCATCAGGGAAGCTATATTCAGGGGATAGACAAGCTACTTTCCTTAAAGCCTGACTTCTGCCAATTCTTGCTAGCGTCAGATATAGACACGGTAAATGGCCATGGCATTGGGTTCATGAAAAAGTTGTTTGCTCAGTTATTCGAAGAGGAATCATCTATAAGCGTCAGCAGCAGCGGTAAGAAAAAGAAGAAATCCAAGAAGCAGAACCCTTTACCACTGTCCTGCGCTCAATTCATGAACAAAACTAAAACTTTGTTCATACCGACAGACGACTACATCTACCAACACCTCACTCCCCTTCAAGTGGACTACTACACCAGTTTATTCAGCTTTCAAGAGGAAGAAGTCAGTGGTAGAATCATCGACGCACTGCCATACGATGTGACAAAGCAAGCCTTGTCGGAAACGAAACACGACATCGTGGATTTGCTTGAAAATTTGATGTTAGCCGATTTAGTCGGTGGGGTTAACGGAACCACATCTTCGAACAAGGACGTTAAAATACATACCAGCATAGGCGGAAGAGTGGATTACCATACAAGCGGGCGGGAAAACTGTCGCAAACTTCGCATTAACAAGTCTGTAGATTCCTTACGCGACTCGACTAATATTGTGCTATCCAATGGTGTAATACATTTAATTGGAGCAGATACGTCCTCTAAGGGAGAAAAAAAGAAAGAGGATCCTGATGCTTTTTTCCAGTCTTCCAATTTGCCCGTTGAGATGATTCCCAGGAAAGCATTGTACGCCCTCCATTTCTCCAATGTCGTGGAAGAATACTATTTCCGGAGATTGGACTCTATCTTAGATGGCAAATCAGAGAATCAAACAATCATTGTAGACGGCGATGACAGGGACGATATTCCAGATGATGATATAGCAATATCCTCATTCAGTTCAAAACAACAACTCCAATATCAAGTTCTTGACGGAGTAATTGACCATGAAGAAGTGAGCGAGAACGAAGAGTACTTTTTATTGGACTCAAAGCTTTGCTCAAAGAAGAGAGTCGGAGGATGTTTCAAGACCAAGGTCACTATATCAGAGGATAAGATAATTACTATCAATGATAAAGCTAAAGTAACCCAAGCATATCAAGTATCGAATAATACTATGATATATCTTACTGACAATGAAAACGATGCACCAGGCTCATTAAAACATTCTCTCGTTGAGATAATTTCTGGAAATGGTGGTGATAGATATTGGGACCATATTGATATCGATAGTAAAAGTTGCTTGGAAATTTTCAAGGAATTGAATGGATTTAACTTATTTTCGTTGGATGAAAATGGCAAGGGATATTCTATATTCTTACCCTGTGGCAGACCTCAAGAATATGGGGTCGGTCATAAGATGTATTCACGCGGTAGTGCTTGGGAAACTATTGGTTTAACATTAACCCACTTGCAAAGGAATCGCGAAAAATACGAAACTCTATTAAAGGGATTCTTCGTAGAAGGCACAATTTATTCTGACTTTTCAGGTAAAGGTAAGTACAAGAATCTAAATGGAGATTCGTTGCGTATCAATACTTTGCCACAGGTGGAAACTGACCATACTGAAATTAGTGTTAATGATTCTACCGTATTTGAGATTCCTTTAAATTCGGACATCTTATTTAACCAAGGAGTGGTGCACATCACGAGCGAAGTAATGTTTCCCGATAATCTTCTAATCACGATGTTAGACTTGATCAGAGCTACTTTTGAGAAGTCAGACAAGCATAATGTGTTAGATTTGATTGAAAATTACCCAAAGCTTGCCAAAAAATTATTTGGAAAGAATGGTTCCAGTAGTGAGTTTTCGTTACTTGCGCCTGCTCCAGACTCATTGAAGACTTTTAATGTATCCAGTTCGTTTGAAAAGCTTTGGGACTTCTTGGAGTTTCATTTGGTTCCAAATAGTGAATTAGAGGTATTATTGGCCTGTGTAAATGGACTTCCTGACCCAACGTTCGATGGCAATGGAACTGGGTCTTTCAGCAACATTAGAACAAACCTTTCGGACACGACGCTTAATTGCAAGTATAATCCTGAAAAGGGTAGGACAACATTACAACTTAACAACCCCCAAGATGTGAACTCTTTAGCATACAGTAAGAACCACGAAGTACACGTACTTAGTCATGGATGTGCTAGAGGCTTTGGGAATAATGCGGGTGGAAATGGGTGTGTTTTTCTTATAGATAAACCTCTTAACTTGTTATGGCTCGAAAAGCCTTCGGGTAATTTCCTCCATGTTTCCTTGGGAATTGTAAGTGTTGGAATTGGTATCGTTGTTGGGCTTGTCATATTCGGTGTGGTTATGTTATCTGTGGCAATGTGTATTAACAGTAATAGCCAAAACAAAAAACAAAACCCTAAACTTAATGGAGATTTCTTCTCTATTAATACAGAGCCAAGTTTTATGAGCGTTCGTGAAAGCTCGGACGATAATAGCCCAATTTACGATAGAGGATATGAGACAGATGATGATATGTTGAGATCAGAACATGAGAATCTATTACCAGCATATGAACTGAAGAGGAAAAGAGGTGGCAAAAAAGGAAGAAACGATTATTTAAATAATGATGGATATGGGAGTACAAGAGACTCTTCAAGAAGTCCAAACGGTACAACACATGAAGGAGGGACAATTGGTCCTTTACCAATTAGCAGTAAGAGTATTACGAATGCCCTTAATAGGGAAAGAAATTTGCCGAGCGTAATGTAGAGTAAATAAAGCATAAACTATAGTAGCATAAAATAGAAAAATAACATATTTAAAGTATTCTGTAAGCGGTTGACAAGTCGTACCTTGTGAACTAGGGTATCATTTCTTCTAAGAAAGCCCATTTGATGCAGCAAATCCTTATAACTTATGAGGTGTACGGGTGTAAAGCACATCATGAAAAACTAACAGACAAAAATCAATGTGGAAAAAAAAACACACCAAGAGTGAAATGAAAGCAATCCCAAACCTGATAGATCAGTAGTGGACAGAAGAAAATTATCATATAAACATGTCCGAAGAGATACCTATAGGTCAGCAGCAGCAACAGCCATACCAATTCAATACGCCCCCATCCACTACTGAAGTAAGTGGTGGGGAAGCATTCCAGCAACTAGTGCCTTCTTCCACCGGAGTGGTTGCGCCACCTCTTAATACGAATACTGGAGCTCCAGAATCTTCAGAACAAGCCAGGCTCGAAGAGATGGAAAAAGAAGCTGTAAAATTGCGTGAACTCCACTCTTCAATGCAAATGGATGAGGGCTCAGATTCATCTTCAATTCAACAATCAGAGGAAGAGAAGAGAGAGAAAGATTCAAGGTCCATCTATGTGGGGAATGTAGACTACAGTGTAACTCCACAGGAATTGGCTACATTATTCTCAGTGAGTGGAGTTGTAAATAAAGTTACTATATTGACCAATAAGTTCACTGGTCAGCCAAAGGGATTCGCATACTTGGAGTTTGCTGATGTAGATGCTGTTAACAAGGCCGTAGCCACTCAAGATGGTGCTACTTTGAGGGAAAGAGAATTAAAGGTGAGCGCGAAGAGAACCAACATACCTGGGTTGAGCACTACAAACAGAGGAGGTAGAGGAGGTAGAGGTGGCAGAGGTGCATTCAGAGGTGGAAGAGGTGGCTTTTTCAGAGGTGGTAGAGGCGGTGGATTTAGAGGTGGAAGAGGTGCATTCAGAGGTGGTTCAAGATTTGCACCATACTGAGAGATAAAGAAGCTAGAACCAATTGCTCTTCATTACGCCAGGCGAAATTTGTACCTAGGACAATAAAATGCGCATAATAAGGCCGAAAAAAAAAACGAAAAATCACGTTCTACTATCGTGAATTTCTATGTATGTAATGCTTGTACTTTAGATTAATAAATTATTATTGTTATATCACACATAAAATGCGAAGCTAATAAATATATATATATATATATATATATATCCATAGGAATTATAGAGCGGTGTTTTAATGTTTGTCCCGCTCTATCTTGTAAATTTCCTCTATTCGAACTAAATTGATATGATTTCCTTAATGTCATAAGTATTGTGACTGCGCTAATCCATCTCTCTAAGAACTAATAAATTGCAAAAATCGCTCTAGCTTCTTTCATTAGCTTCCTTCACAAATTTGGAAACCTCATGAATACCATCTTCTGCCAATCCCTTCTCGACACCCTTAATATCAGCAGCGTTCATTTTCTGCTCAAACTTGTACTTACCTTCAATTTGTTCAATTTCTATTTCCAATCCATAGATTGCCTTTTGCAAAAGTTTAACATAATTTTCTGGAGCTTGACTAACAGTCCAGGGGTCTTCTCTTTTCTTTTCATTTTGATCGGTGAAGTTATCTAATTGCTTTCTGACCCATTGTGCATCATCAATAACTCTAGACTTACCGTAAATATGCACCGAGGCAAAATCCCAAGTAGGTACATACTTGTGAGTCTCCTGCTTACCAGCATAGTATGAAGGTGAGATATACGAGTCGTGCGATTGGAAAATCACAAGCACTTCTTTACCTTCCTTCAATGAAGGTGCCTGTGGGTTTACTTTAGCGAAATGAGCTTGAAGATATTTCTTACCCGTTTCTGGATCAATATATAAGAAAAATGGAATATGGTTGGCGATGATTTTCCCATCAGCATCGTTTGTCACCACAGTTGCCAATGGGTAATTTCTAATGACAGGCTCCTGATGTTCCCAGCTATCTTCAAGGTATTTCTTTGGAATATACATTTTTTTTTATTATGTGCTTAAAAGTAGTAATAACACTTATAAAAACTAAAAGAGATTACTAAAATAAGTTTTATCTATTTCTACAGTTATATATATATATGCTATTAAGGGTCTAGAATACAGAGTCAAGTTGTCGGGTCCACTGACCCTGGTAGATTGAGTAAAGCACGCTGACTCAGCTATCTTTCTATCGCCTGTGGTTGGTGTGTGGGGCTGTCTTGACATTTTTGGAACGCGCATCAACTTACCGCATTGGGAATCGTGCGCACAACTGCAGTCGAATTTCAATGGCTGCAAATCATGTGGGAAACCATAACGAAAAATGGTCGAAGTTGATACTCCTATTACACGGTCAACGGCTACTATAGACATTTACTGTGTTATTCATTTACATTCTAATTAATCGTGACACTTATATACTTTACTTTTTTTTCGTTTTTGTTATTCTCTTTCTATTCTCTTTCTAATTTTCGAACAACGTCTTTATGTTGCTAATTCTTGTAGAACAACAGTCTGTTTGGCTTGAGCACCAGTCTTGAGTGCAACTCATGCTTCCATAAAAAGCAAGGCACTCAAGTACGGAATTAAAGTGCTGCCAAAATACGCTGTTAGCTCTAAAGTGGATTATTTTTTAAATTCACTAGAACATTATTGTTGCATATGTCGCAGATACTGCCAAAACAGCACTAACGAAGATGGTAAGTCTAATAATAAACCGTTCGAAAGCTGACACATTTTCCTTGCAAAGCTTCAAGTAAAACAAGCACGGGAATATGATGCAAACAATAAAGCAGATCAGCGCACCAAGCATACCGATGACCTTTTCAAGTTCTGGAAACAAAATAGCAAGAATTACGAACACAGCGTTGACGAACACTCTGACCAAAAACCTGGAGAACGAGAAGAACGACTTCTTGAAATATGAATGCAGTGAATTAACCCCATTTCTGGCATCAATACCCAATAATGTGTCCAAACTCAGAATAATTGGCTTTGCATTCAAAGGCGTCTTAGCCAATGGGACTATGCATATTAAACCAGAAATCAATGGATAACACCACAGTGGATAACCTGGAGTGAAAAGAATGCTATTAGTAACTTCATTTTCACATAATGCTCCAAACATCAAAAATCCCAAAACTCCCATAGACATATCTACCAAGATACTGATGAAATAAGTTGGGAACAAAGTCTTGCTGAATTTATATGGATGTCTCATATCAGATTTTAAGTTGGGAAAGATAGCATGCCCACCAAATGGTGATAAAAATATCCCTATAGAGAGTAAGAGATCTGGAAAGGATTGAGGGTATAAATTAGTTGGCATGAAGTCGATCAAAGAACCAGGAGAATCTTGTTTTATAATCCCGACAATGAAAACCAATAAGGTAATGGAGACAGTTGCCATGATCCCAAAGAGTGAGAAAATTGACAAAATAGGGAGTGGTATGAATGAAAAGGGCGTAAGGATGAAAAAGCATAATACTTTGAATTGAACTTTGGTCCAGCCTAAATTTGCACCAAGTAACGCATATAGTGAGTCACTCATCAACACATTCAACGAAACTCCAGCTCCAAGCAAATCAATGGAAAACAAAAGCAGGATTGCCAACTTGGCTGCAGATCCATAGGCTGCATGACCTAAATCTGCATAGGTCATAATAGTTGCATCCGTGTCCATGGCCTTGGATAAAAGACGGGCGGTCCAGAGAGTTGCTAACCCACTGCCGAGTAAAAACGGTACACCCAAGAGCCAACCTGCTTTCATGATTCCAACTGGAAGAACCAAAAGACCTACCCCGATCAATACGTTAATGGAGTTGAAAACAGTTTGCGGGGCAGTGGATTGCCCGGAAAGGACTGTAATGACATGTCCATCTTTATCTTCAATCTGCTTAAGGTTAAATTGAGATGCAGTGGTAAAATTAGAAATAGCAGAACGGATGGAAGCAAATGACTTCAGTGGTATAATTTTTTTACCGCCGATTGGTATTGAGAACGCACCTTGGCTACCCGCTGGTAAGGTATAGCTATCGCGGTAAGGATCACGGGCAACGGTTGAGTTATGCCTAGAATGACTGATGGAGGGATAGTCTTCCGTATAGAACACCTCGGCGTTTGGTGAGAAGTGTTGGTGCAAGTTATCGTTCATGAACAGTTGGTTTCTGTGGCTCTGAACGTCGTGGATGACCGTGGATAGTCGCTGACCACGCTGGGAAGGGATCATCAAGTCAGGGTCAAAGAGGACCTCGTCTCCCTCAGCGTCATCGTCATCTTCAAAGTCCAAAAATGAGTGCTCAGTAGCACGCTGACCAGGAGAAACAAAGAACGATCTCTTACGGTGGATATCTGGGTCAAGCATTGAAGCATTGAATGCTTGGGCTCTTGTGAATGAGGTAGCAAAGTTGTGGATGGAGTTGGGGCCCTTGAACGAACCAATAGGCTGGTCCAAGAAGGCATGGGATGGCCTTCTCAAGGGTGTTTGTTCATCTTCCGACATGCTACTACCGAAAACTAGTCAAAGGAGTGCTGTTCAAAGGTGAAAAAACTGAAATACAAATGCCCTTCCTCACACTCCACTCCAACGTGAAATTATCCACCGCTTGCTTGCCGGAGATCAAACAGGAAATTCTTATCGCGGGAAAAACCAAAACAAGCAAACGAAAATACTCATCGTATTAATTTCCAAATTTAGTCGGTGGGCCGTCGAGAAAAGATGCGGCAGACCAATCAAGAAAAATAGGTTGCATCTGGGCGGAAGAAGAGAGAAGGGGAGAAAGCTGGACCAACTAAGCGCTATAGGAATAGCGGGACTGTGTAAATCTGCGTACACTCATGTGCGACCTTTGGCATAACAGCCTGAAGAATCGGACAAGGATGAGGGAAGAACATTGACCAGGTCGTTGGATAGCCTTGTCTCAAAACTCGCTTTTCTTCCTTACAGTTCAATTTCCTGCTGTTGGCGGACATTTTTTTTTTTTTCGTATAGTTTTTTTTTGGTTCCTACCCTTTCCATCTTCCCTTCGTCATGGTGCTTCCTTGATTTCCACTTTTTGTTTGAGATTAGAATTTTTGGCATTTGTGAGCATCGCCAGAATTGGGCGGCTCAGCGATGCTCTCTGTTCGCCTCATGAACAGTTAAAATACGATTCTTGGTGCAGTGCATGGCTAAAGCATATTTCCTAGGCCAATAGTAGCCTTAGCACTCGTAGTGTCTACCTTGAGAAATGGCTCTGTAGTCGCAATTGGCCATACAGGACATATGGCCAACTTCTGTGATGTCTTATATTCCATTCTCCCTGAAGCCAAATTCTTTCTCATGACTTTAGCCAAATTTCTTCTCACTACCATATGACACAGCTTGACTCTTGCCTTTCTCCGTTTCCTTGAAAATATAAGTTTTACCAGATATGATCTGATGGATCTCAGAAATACATTGATTTGAAAATATGGTCCACAATGTCTATCTTTTGGTCCCACTCCAGTCCAATTTTTGCAACCTGAGCCCAATCATATTTTTTTACAGCTGTCTTGCTTTACATTTCTCTTTATAACGTTAAATAAACCACCATACATATGACATCTCTTATCACATCATCTCGCAGAATAGCCTTCACCTGCATATGCTATCGGAAAAGTTAAAAAACGAAGGAAAATTGAACGAGACAGAGCCACACCATTTCCCAAATCTCGAAACTCAAATCAGTCATAACCATCATAAGGTTTGGTGGAGCACCTTCAGGTTCATTGATACAGTTGCATTTTGTTTTTCAAAAGAGAAGTGGCCTCTTTTGTATTTATTATTTCCACCTCCTCGTTATTTGTTTCCAATTTTTTTCAAACCACTTTAAACACTTTTTTATAGCATAAGTCATGTCGATCAAGGAATTTGTATCTATAGCATTCACCTCAAAGGAATTAACTACGAGACAAAAATGGATACTTGGGCTCATTAACCTTTCATCTGTTGTCGTGTTTTGGGTGCTATCTTCATTTCTAGTGAATGATCTATTCGAGACTGATATATACAGAAAGCCGTTCTTCATAACCTATATCAACACTGGATGTTTTGCCTTCTACCTCATCCCATATTTATACCACGAAGATATACTGTTAAGAGAGTTTATCAGGAGAGTAAGGGAAAGCTATGATAAGGAAAGAAGACAGAGCATCGACAAATTGCTGTACATCAGGTTGTCAAGTAATTTGGAATCGTCTAGTTACGGGTCTAGTGACCATTTATCAGCGTTAGAGCTGCAGACTCCTCCTTCCATCAATAACCAGCTAGGAGGACTTAGCGTAGCTGGTTCCAATCGTGCCGTATTTGAAAGTTTGGGAACAGACTCACCACCATCTGGAATATCCACACCTATTGAACAGAGTGATACCAATAATACTACGAACAATCTGAGCGAAGTTTTATATGACATTCCCCTTTATGAAACTATCAAGCTCTCACTTCAATTTTCAATACTTTGGTTCTCGGCCAATCTCGTCACCAATGCTTCACTTTCATACACTTCCGTGGCGTCTCAAACAATCCTTTCCTCCAGTTCATCTTTCTTTACCCTAATTGTGGGTTACATCTGTTCGGTAGAGAAGATTAACACAAACAAAGTAGTTGGACTTATACTTTCCTTCATTGGAGTTATTATAGTGACCAAAATTGATTCTAACGATCCACCGTCTTCAATATCACCCCTTTCTACCCTCTGGGGTAACTTATTGGCCCTTGGTGGTGCCCTTTTCTACGGAGTCTACACCATTTTACTCAAGTTTAAAGTCATGATCAAAAACTCCAAAAAGGAAAGGGTGTTGAACACGCATTTGTTTTTTGCATTCGTTGGTATCTTCACCCTTGTGCTCTTATGGCCAATACTCTTCATTTTGAACTTTACTGGTCATGAAAAGTTTGAGTTACCTAAGACGTCGTACGTGTATACCTTATTGCTTATCAATGCCTTGATAACGTTTGTGTCAGACTTGTGTTGGTGTAAGGCAGTTTTGTTGACCAGTCCATTAACTGTGACCGTTGGATTGTCGATGACTATCCCCTTGGCAATGATCGGAGACTGGCTCATTAAAGGTTTCACAGTGAACTTTCTTTACTTACTAGGTGCTACAGTGGTCACCGTTGGGTTTTTGATCATTAACAAGGATGAAGAGGGAGATTTCGTCCGTGAAGATAACTAACTCAAACTTATTTGCATACACTTATTAGCACTGTGCTTACTTTTTTTCTTCCCATATCGCACCTTCAGTTCTCTTTTTATTAGACGCTAGCGATCCCTTCAACTGGTTCCGTGAAAAATGAGGAGTTACCAAAAAACATCAACAAAATAAAATGAAGCAAATTTCACACTTGACAAGAACAGAATTTTGATACTTTCAGCTATGGGATATAGATTACATAAATATATGAATAGAACAGCTAGATAAATTAAGCATTTAAAAATATTAATTCAAGCGAAGAGTGTATTGTATACTGCCATGCTTGCTGCTAGCTCCCTGGCACAAAATCTAAATTAACTAAATTTTAAATAAAATAAATTAAAGGGCATTCAAAACTCTCTTTAACGTCGTTTTATGGAGCTAGAGGAACATCACGAGCTTTTTTTGAAGTAGTCAACTAAAGTGCTGCAACACATTTGGGTCTCTGCATCCTTGCAATATTTTTCTTTTCGAAGCTTCCTTCGGTTGCGTCTAAAACTTGCGGCTCCTTGGAAATTACGTTTTCTCAACGAAATGAGACGCTGGAAGAAATTCAAAACCAGCTCCAAACAGTTTCTTTACCGCTCAACATATCTACAAGGTAGCCATGAATATATTTGTGATATGGGCTCTTTTCTTAGGGTTAACACTCTCAGCAGAATCTATCTCACCCATTACTGAACTCAATGAATTAACTCTGGCGTCTCCAAATAAGGTCATTGAAGTCACAAACAGTGACATCTCGTTTATCTTCGGTACTAAAGAAAAGGCAGTAGAAAGAGAATTCTGGACTGTATTAGCATTGACTTCTACCCACCCTCTGCATGGATGTACTGGCTGTGAAGACTTACAAAAAATATATGGGCGTGTGGCCAAATCTTGGTTTGCGGATTATTTGGACCTTAACATGTTATATTTCGCCAATATAGATGTAGTTGACCCTACTAACATGCAATTGTTTGAAGATTTGGGCTTAACGACGATACCTCATGTTTGGTTGATCCCACCTAATAAGAAAGATGACTCTGAAGATGATGATGAAGACGAAGAAGAAGGAACGAAAAAGATCAAAGGTTTCAATTTGTTGGAAGAGCCTCGTTTCACCTTCCAAATTCCTGATGTTGGTAACGCAGATCAGGCTCTTGAGTTTGCTAGATTCCTCACAAAGAACTTACAAAAATCCATTCTTATCCGTCAAGAAGATCCAGTTGGTTCTTTTATTCAGACATTTGGTTTAACTCTTGGTGGTATTATCCTTTTTAAGAAGAGAGGGCCAAGAATTATCACTAACCTTGGTAAGACAGCTGTATACAAAGCAATTGTGATCACGGCCATTTTAGCCTTTGTCTGTGGGTACTCATTCACTACTATCCAGAGGGTTCCATTTATTGCAAAGAATGACGATGACGAAGTTATCTACATAAGTGGCGGCCAGAGTTATCAGTTTGGGATTGAGATTGTTGTAGTTGGTGCGAACTACCTTGCATTGGGAATCAGCTTGGTAAGTATGATCTACTTTGGAAGATATAAAGTGAGGGCCGGAAGTCTTTTAGAAAATGAAGCTGCTAAGTCTTTTGTGGTCATTTCCCACTCAGTTGTACTTTATTTATTATACTCTTGTTTGACAAGTATTGTATCGAGGAAAGATCCAGGCTACCCATATCATTTTACTAAACTTTTTTAAAACATATTTCTATAGACAAAATAATAACCCTTAAATTACTTCAAAAAGATGTATGTAAAAATCTAATTAGTAGCTAAAAAATTTTAGAGCAATTACCATAATCTGATAAAATATAACTGGTGATGTTATTTAAGCTTTTTTGTATTTCATCTTGACTAAGATTTGAGAATCTTCACTTTAGAAAATGCTGGTACTTCTTTTTTTTTTAACTTAACGCGTTCTCTGCAAACAACTGCTACTCAAGGATATAAACAGGATGCCGGTCCAAAAGAGAATCGGAGAAACGCTCGTTGCTGCTAGTGGTGGGAAAAAGAGATTAATAACTGACTTTTTTGCAAAGAAATCGACTACTACTAAACATGTTGACGTGATCGAGAAGAAAACTGAAGAGCTTCAACAAGAGGACGTAAAAGTGGAGGGAACAACGAAAGTGGTTTTGGAAACAGATTCTTCAAATCAATATGGGGCATTCTGTTCACAGTTTAAATTTAATAAGCAAGCCTGGGTCGATTCGTTAACACCAAGACAGCGCGAGCTCCTTGACTTGGAGATCAACACGCTTCATATTACTTGGCTAGCTGCTCTTCATCAAACCCTAACTAAGCCTTACTTCCTCCAATTGAAGGATTTCGTAATAGCCGAACAGCTGAAAAAGACCATATTCCCACCAAATGATCAAATATATTCTTGGTCACAGTATACTCCACTCCCAGATATAAAATGTCTTGTATTGGGGCAAGATCCGTATCACAATTTTAACCAAGCGCATGGACTAGCTTTTTCAGTAGTAGAACCAACAAGACCACCACCGTCGCTCGTAAATATATATAAGACATTGAAAAATGACTTTCCAAGTTTCGAAATTCCCGACTACAACAAGTTATCTAAACAGGGTACGCCCAGCGGTGGGAACCTTTCGCTGTGGGCCAAGCAAGGTGTGTTGATGCTCAATACTTGTTTGACAGTAGAAGCTCACAAGGCAAATAGTCATGCTAAACGCGGGTGGGAGCAGTTCACAGAGGAAGTATTAAAGGCAGCCTTTGTATATCATAGTAAGGCTAATGGATTTGTAATTATGGGCTGGGGTACGCCAGCCCAAAAGAGAATTGAAAAGATTGGGTTCAACAAAAGTTCCAGTTTCCTTATATTGAACACCGTTCACCCTCTGCCATTGTCAGCCCACAGAGGATTTTTCTCTTCAGGAGTGTTCAAAAAATGTAATGAATGGTTGGCTGAAAATGGAGGTGAGAAGCTAAACTGGGGGATTCTTGAGGGTAATATCGTTAAAGAGTAAAGAGAGATAAAAGTGGTAAGTGGAAAGGTATTCAAAAATATAGAGAAGTGAAGTAAACCCGGTAAGGACGAAGAAAAGCATGACAAAAAATATAGGAAAAGAATGTGGAAATACACATAAGAAAGGGAAAGAGAATACATACAATTTATCCGACTTGCCTTATATCCACATAATATCTAGTTCTATTAGTGTAGTCTCTCCTGTCTCTTCTCTCTACACTAGCATTGTCTTGCCCTGCCCTCTCCCATACTCGACCTCAGAATCTCCTGCATATTCTTCCAACGCGCGATCTCTTCCACTTCACGCGAATTGTTTTTATTATTATTTATCTTTTATAAATAACACCTGCATGTAATCAACCTAAACCGTCTACTTCAATAAATTGATAGACACCATCACAGAAATATAACGTTCGTAAAAAATGCACCTAAAGTTTTCCACTTTAAATGCCATCCCTATGGTATAATGCGAAAAAATGTTCCCCCCAAAAATGAAAAATTTCATAATCTACGTACACCGTTAAATTGTACATTCAATAGAAAGCTTCTAGTAGATATATTCGACGCTTTCCACCATCTTTTGACAATACATAGACGGAGTTATCTGCACATTTGGATCTTCGATTAAGATGCCTAACCTATTATTTTTTAAACTATATGCAAGAATTTGTGCTGCAATTTGATTTTTGCAATCAATGGAAATATGCAATCATAGGGAATTTTTCCTTCAGTACATTCTGATTTTCTCGCCTCAACCGTACTTCGTTTTTCATTTTCTGAATTTTTTTTTTTTTTCCTAACTTTTTTGTTCATCCCTATCCTCAGATTGAAAACCACTTGTTGTTTGTTTTTTTAAACCACTCGTACATCGTCAGGTAAGGACCATCACAGGTACATAGACATAAATAATACAAGACAATATGACTGACAACGACAGGATTGCTCGGTTCCTTCTAGATACCGACCCTAAAACGGCAAAAGACAACGATGTTGATGATTCTACTAAACGGTTTAAATATCTTTTGGGACTTACGGATCTTTTTCGTTACTTCATAGACATAAATGCCTCCAAAGATGCACAGTTCAAGAAATTGATCAAACAAATCGATAACAAGGTCTCTTTCACGCTGTTGGGTGCGAAAAGCAAGAAAAACAATAGCAATAAGAGATCGAGACGTAAGACGGAGAAGGAAGAGGATGCTGAGTTGTTGGAAGAAGAAGAACATATCGGAGACGAGGAATCTCAGAGAACAGTTTTGACCGAGTCGCCTTCGTTCGTACAGCAGGGGACCTTGAGAGAATATCAAATCCAAGGTCTCAACTGGTTGATATCGTTATATGAAAATAAATTAAGTGGGATCTTGGCTGATGAAATGGGACTTGGTAAAACATTGCAGACCATATCGTTTTTAGGCTATTTAAGGTATGTGAAGGGCATAGATGGTCCCTTTATAGTTATTGTTCCCAAGTCAACTTTGGATAATTGGAGAAGAGAATTTGCCAAATGGACTCCGGAAGTAAATGTAGTTGTATTGCAAGGAAACAAAGAAGATAGACAAGATGTTATTAAAAATAGATTATTGACAGCGGACTTCGACGTACTCATCACATCCTTTGAAATGGTGATACGAGAGAAATCTCAGTTGAAAAAGTTCAGATGGGAATATATTATTGTTGATGAAGCCCATAGGATTAAAAATGAGGATTCAAGTTTATCGCAAATTATCAGGTTATTCTACTCTAAGAACAGACTATTGATTACTGGAACTCCTTTGCAAAACAATCTTCATGAATTATGGGCATTATTGAATTTCTTGCTCCCAGATGTCTTTGGTGATTCTGAAGTTTTCGACGAATGGTTCGAGAACCAAAGCAAGCAGGAAAACGAAGATGGAGATGGGGATGGAGGGGACAAAGTAGTACAACAACTTCACAAAGTGCTATCCCCCTTCCTTCTCAGAAGAGTTAAGGCTGATGTAGAAAAATCCTTGTTACCTAAGATTGAAACTAATGTTTATATTGGAATGGCTGATATGCAATTAAACTGGTATAGAAAGCTTTTGGAAAAAGATATAGATGCTGTCAATGGGGTTGTTGGGAAAAGAGAAGGTAAAACCAGATTATTGAATATTGTAATGCAGTTGAGAAAATGTTGTAACCATCCATACTTATTTGATGGTGCGGAGCCTGGTCCACCGTTCACTACTGATGAGCACCTTGTGTTTAATTCTGGAAAAATGATTATCTTGGATAAAATGCTTAAAAAGTTCAAACAGGATGGATCAAGAGTTCTTATATTTTCGCAAATGTCTCGTCAATTGGATATTCTCGAGGATTACTGCTTTTTCAGAGAATATGAATATTGCAGAATTGATGGTCTGACAAGTCACGAAGATAGAATTGATGCCATTGACGAGTATAACGAACCAGATCTGGACAAGTTTATCTTTTTACTTACTACAAGAGCTGGTGGATTGGGTATCAATTTAACTAGTGCTGACATTGTCATCTTGTATGACAGTGACTGGAATCCTCAAGCTGATTTACAAGCTATGGACCGAGCTCATAGAATTGGACAAAAGAAACAAGTCAAAGTATACAGATTTGTTACCGAAAATGCAATTGAAGAAAAGGTCTTGGAAAGAGCTGCTCAAAAATTGAGATTGGATCAGTTGGTTATTCAGCAAGGAAGGCAACAACAGTCCAACGCTCAAACAGGAATTGGAAATACTAAGGATGATTTACTTGGTATTATTCAACATGGTGCAAAAAAGGTTTTTGAAGATGGTGCTAAGAATGGAAGTGCTAGTTTGTTAGATGCTGATATCGACGCAATCTTGGCTAATGGGGCAGAAAAGACGGCTAATTTGAATGCTAAATTTAACAAGTTAGGTCTTGATGACTTGCAAAACTTTACTTCAGATTCCTCGACCTATGAATGGAATGGTCAAAACTTCGCGAAGAAAGATTCCTCTGATTTGGGCTTCAGTTGGATCAATCCTACTAAAAGAGAGAGAAAAGAGCAAACATATTCAGTGGACAATTATTATAAAGATGTATTGAAGCAAGCTGCACTTGCGAATAGTAAGAGTTCTGCAAACTCATCAAATGCGGCCGCTAAATTGGCTACTCACCGCCCAAGACAACCAAAACTTTACAACATACAAGATCATCAATTTTTCCCTGAAGGTCTTAAGGAACTCCTAGATAGAGAGCAATTATCTTTCAAAAAATCCATTGGCTATAAGTTTACACTTGATGAATTTGGTGATAGTGATGACGAATTCTTGGCTGATGATTTCAAAAAAGAAGTTGAACAAACGAGGGAAGAGAAAAGGGAATTTCATCAGAAACAAGTTAATGATGTCGTTCCTTTGACTGAAGAAGAGATAGAACGAAAGGATAATTTACTCGCAGAGTCTTTCCATTCTTGGACAAGACGTGATTTCACCAATTTTATTCATGGATCTGCAAAGTTTGGAAGAGACAATTATAAGTTGATATCTTCACAAGCTATGGGTGGAAATAAATCTCCAGAAGAAGTCCAGAGGTATCTGAGCAAATTTTGGGAAAACTATAGGCTTATTGAAGGCTATGATAAGTACATATCTCAAATTGAAAGCAGCGAACGAAAATTAGCAAAATTAATGAACCAACAAAAACTTCTTGCATTCAAAATGGAATCGTTAAAACATCCTTTAGAGAATCTAAAGATACAATATCCACCTAATAATTCAAAACGCGTGTATTCCAAGATTGAAGACAGATTCATTTTGTTCTGTGTCAATAAATACGGATTGTTTAGTGAGAATCTTATGGAAAGAATCAAGGAGGATATAATGGCTTCAGATTTATTTAAATTTGACTGGTTTATTCTCTCAAGGACTCCGCAAGAACTTTCAAGAAGAGTTAATACTTTGTTATTGGCAATCACAAGAGAATTGGAAGGTCCCGGTGCAAGCAGAAAGAAAAATATCGGCTTGTTAAAGAGCAACAAATCGAATGATAGTAGACCTAGCTCAACTGAACCATCGGTTAAAGAGGAAGTTAATAATGAACTTAATTCTAATGGTAAAAGAAATGGTAATAGTTCTAAGGTAGACGTGATAGATAAAAAGAGGAAAGCGGCGGTTGTTTAGTTATCAAGACTTATAATGAATATTATATATGTATTTATACATCTAATTCTTTTAATAATACATAGTAAGAATGTAATGAGAATATGAAAATGCTGAGCTCATAAGTATTCAGGACAGATTTCTGGCTGAACTGTAGATATGAAATAAGGTACTTTATTAGCCGTCCAACTAACTGACAAAAAGTCACTCATTTCATGTTTTTCAACTCTCAAATAATCGAATATAGTTGAATTTAATGTTGCCTTGTATCTGGGCCTAATGAAGTTTCGCAAACTAATAATCTTGGTACCAGGTTTCAAGCCAGATAGAAGCTGACCAACCTCAGCATTTAAATTTTCGTCAAATAAATAATTGTTGACAATGATTACGTCACAATCAACTATAACTTTCTTAACTGACGAATTGTCGACAAAACTTTGCAGTAATGCCCAAGTCAAGGGAAGTTTCTTCAACCCAAGCACAGATAATTTTTTCTGAAGCACAATATCTTGGAGATTAGTAAGGTACGAAGCATGGCCCATAAGTTCACATCCTCCGCTCACTTGAGCACCAAATTCCAAGGCTGCTTGCAAAGTAGTATTACCAACTCCAGAGCCCAAGTCATAGAATTTTTGTGCTGGTCTAAGGTCAACTTTTGTAAGGACTTCACTGGTGAACGAAGGCAATAACTCTCCATAGACTTCTGCAGTGAATGCTTTATAAGACCTGAGCTTGTGTGAATCTGGAGATACTACCCTTGAATATACTTTTAAAAGAATTTGTTGCAAACAAAATCGAGATATTTCTGTTTTAGAATTTAAATGTTTGAAGAAGTTGGAAACAAAATTCGATTCTGTATATTGAATCTCATAGTCATCTGGCTTTTCAATCTTAACAGAAGTTTCTGGTTTTGGCTCAATTCCAGTTGCTGCAGGTGGTCCATGCTCAAACTCAGGACTATCTTCTTCATCATCGAGTGAATATTCCATTTCGTCTAAGAATACAGCCAACTTTAAATCTTCATCACTTGGTGGTTTCAAATTATCATATTGAAGATAAATCCTCACTTCTTCGTTGAGGTCTCCCTCGAATTTATGTGATTCAGTGCTCAAGTTTGGTGATAACTTAATCATCAAAGTATTCCACATATCCACAATAGTCATAAATTTAGCAAAGTCATTGTTCTCAATGCTTTCGTCGAGTCCCCTACAATAATCATTGATTATGATTTCCTTAATTTTCTCAGAATGTGAAAAATAAAGTGCAAAGTGTATTTGGAAAAGCTTTTGCATTTCAATTATTGGATCCAATTCTTCTCCCTTTGGTTCCGCAAGAATAAATAGTTCACTATGTTGTGGGTAAAGTAGATATCTTAAGCGTACTTTATTTAGTGGGTTGAATTCCTTTCTGTTGGAGGACATCAAAGGTGGGAAAGTGATAGGTAAATCGTTATAACTTTTGTAGTGTTTCGTCACCACATCAGCAGCCATACAGTCAATATACGGAATTTCGTCTGTTTCATTCCGGATGGCGCCAGAGGAATGAACAAAATGAAGCTCTGGTAAGTATGGATTATACTCGTTTATCTCTTGAACAAAGAGCTGCCTTTGGAAGAGTGGAATATGGGTATCTGTATTAATATCGTAAGGATCAAAAGGACTCACAACATTTTCTTCCTCTTCGTCGACTTCCACCTCTAAGTCGTCATCTTCCTCGCCTTCATCCAGTTCTTCCAGTTCATCCGCATCTTGCTCTACCTTTACCTTAGCTTTCTTGATTCTTTTAACCTTTTTCACTTTTTTCACTTGGCTCTTTCTCTTTTTAATATCTTTGATTAATTTTAATTGCAAAAGCTTCTTCCTTTGCCTTTCATTGACTTTTTTACTCACCAGAAATTCAGGTTCAAATTTCTTTGTTTGCTTCCGATTTCTAGTTTCACCCTCTTCAATAGGTTTGAAGTTTCCAGTAACACTTTGGAAATACTCGGCTTCTTCTTTGAGGTGTTCAATATTTGACTTCACTGGAACTCTTTTCGGTGGAATAATGAGACCAAGTTCAATCATTTTTTGTCTTCTTTCCTTTTCCTCCTTTATTTTCTGCTTTCTTTTACGTTCATTTTCTTCTCTTTTTCGCTTAGTTAGCTCCCATTTAATTCGTCTCGCTTGAATTTCTTCAGGAGTCAACTCCTTCACTACTTTCTTTGGAATATTTTCGACTTCTTCCTCCAATAATGTCAACTCCTCATTAATTGATCTGTTTCTTTTCATTCTTCTTGTAGATCTAGAACCAGAGCTGAATTTGTCAGAAGCAAACCATTTAGCATAATAAACAAGTTCATCTACTGAACTTTTAAAGTTATGTCGACGAATATCCAATTCCAGTGTTTTATTGGCGTCCTCCTCTAGATTTTCTAACTCTTCTGCTTCTTCTCCTTCTTCTTCTTCTTCTTCTTTTTGCTCTGTTTCCTCACAATCTATCTCATTCACTATAGCTTGCTCTTTAATGAAATCTGGGTTTAGCCTTAGTAACTCCTCATTTACTCTTTCCTGAGACCTGAAAGGAAATTCCTTCCCTATCTGATCTAAGTCTTCATCCTGACTAAATGCTTTGATTGCCAACAATTTTTTCTCTCCAGTACTCAATTCTGAACTGATTGTAATATCTTCCTTCCTCACAAACTGTATCAAGTTTTGTAAATTAGGGTATGCTCGCACTACTGTTTCTCTAGTCAAGTCATCACTTTCTTCAATGAACCTTATAACCTGCAATTTCTTCTTGATATATGCAACCTTCAGCTTGACTACACTCTGAGTACGAACTGGTAACTCTCTTGCTATGTCAACAAGATTCGAATCACTTTGGATACACTTTTCTACATATTTCAACTCTGGTTTTGTCCAAAATGTATTCCCACTAATTTGAAGCAATTTTCCCCTAATCTCCTCGGGAGTCTTGTTTGGGAGTAGTATTCGCAATGTGGTCAAAGTGAGATCATAAGACAGCGTCCAAATCAAGACAGCAGTTTCTTCAGAAGTCCATATCCCGTACACATCCATACCACCTTCTTTGATTTCTCGTTCTCTGTCGATTACCCTTGCTATTTCCCCGGTTTTTTTGGTAATTTCCGAGACTTTCCGCACAGGTAATTCCAGTTCTTCGACTAGCTTGTCATTAGAAACACGTTTAAATATGTAGAGAATCTCACCTTGAGACCATACCTTAAGGTTTGACTTTGCAAGCAATTTGATTTCTTGATATTTGATAGATGGATATTGCTTGAGTAATCCAGATCTTGTCAAATCCTCCGAGAAAGTGATATCTATTGTTGCCTTTTGGTCATTCACATTGGCAGTTTTGGCAGACTCGAATTCAGGGCTAGCTCTACTCGAGAAGGGTGTCGATAGCCCACTGTGAAAACTTTCTGAAGATGAATCATGGGTGGAAGACCCTGTAGAAGAACTAGAATCAAACACGTTGATTTTCTTCCCATTTTCTGGTAGTCTCAACTTCAACTCAGTCACTTGCATGGGATATAATTCTATGATCTACAAACTAATTATTATCTATTAATACTCTTGTATTCTCCAGCTTGCTTTTTGTTCCTTTTACGGTGGCTCACCTTTATGCTGTTTTCTACTTTTTCCTAGTACTTTTCGAAGCTTCCTTCTTTTTTTTGGGGTCAGATAGAACTCTCAACAGCTATAGTACTTCCACTATCCAACTATACCATATAACTTCAGGTACTCAGTGTATACTATGTCTTCATTAAAGGTGAATAATTCCAAGCGAAGAATCTTAAAAATATATAAACAAAGAAAGTTATGTCTCGATCACGTGCGACGCAACGGCTTTCGGGTCCAACGCATGTACTAAAGTGTAAAGTTCGCGTACCACCCTTTTGAGAGCGATCGAGAGTATTCTACAGTGACCATGGTCCTTTAGTATTGGCATTTTATTTACGTAATTGTTTCTACATTCATTCTATATTCCTCTTCTCCATTTTTCTGGAAATTTTCTATTTTAGGTTCGCATCTTTTGACTTGAATATGGTCATAATTTGCTAGCTCTAATTCCATTTAATCTATACTTGAGGTCTTTATAAAGCTTAGTCTCGGGTTTCCAATTCTCAAATAGTTCATACAATTCGTTAATTTCATCGTATCCATTCTTGCCCATATCACTACCCGCCTGCACTGACAAAAGTTTATTATTGTTGGGCCAGTTCTTCTCTATGTTAAAAAGTAATCCTCTGAAGCACCATGGAAGAATAAATGGATTGGTGCCTATTTTCCCAACGTTATATTCCTTTATGTATATCTGGTTGGTAATTGGTAGTATGAGTTTCTTTTCGTCCTCTTCAATGACTGGGCCATATGTTCCCAATCCGCTAGTAACAAGTCCACCATCATCTTCGCCATTTTGTTGTAACAGCTTTACCGGATGAGACTGTACACCATCATACGAGCCAATTAGCGACGAAGTTGCTTCCATCGTCTCTCTAGCTTCTGTATCAAATGCCTTTGGAGGAGGAATAACGATGTCATCAGTATCCAATACAAATTTGATACCTAGATCATAAACCTTCCCATCATTGTAAATTTTAGAATGTCCACTTCCAGTTAATGGACCTGCTAAAATTGTACTAAGTTCTTTAATAACGTTATTATCGAAAAACCCTAAATTTTGCAATTGACAGCATAATGAAACTAGTTTTTGGATAAAACTTGAAGTTTGGGATGCATGGTCAATATAACAAGCTCTATAGATGTTAGGGTGGAAAACATGACTAGCAAATGCGGAATAAAGGGGAACCAATTGATCATTGACACTTCCAATGAAACATATCTTTACATTAGCGTTGATAATTATTTGGATCAGTTCCTTATACGCCAATGATTGCTTACTTGTGAATTTATTTAATTCAAATAATTCCAGCATAGATTCATTTTCAATTGCTGAATAGGCTTTCATAAATAATGATTTATCAATCCCATAAAATGGCCCATTATTAATCCCAGCCATTCCTAAGACTCCGATTCTCTTCCTAGTTGGGTCTTTCAAAATTCCCAATGTCATTAATCTAGCTAATAGGATAATACTAACCACACAGCCTTGAGAATGAGATGCGAAAAAGATAAAGTCTGCATCATTGAGTTCAGCAGACCATTTCTTCATGATCTTGGTGAAGAATCCAACTCTATCAAAGATTTTTCCTTCCATTTCAAGAGCGATCTTTTGAATACTAACATTTGATTCAGTGGAAGAAATGAGATTATTTTCAATACAATATCTAATAATTCCCTTTTCAGCTTCATTAGCAAATTTCAAAGAAGTTCCCTTCGGTGAACCAATGAATGGCCTTACCATCTTTGTGGGGAAAAATCCATGTACCCCGATGATCAAGATTTTCTTTATCTTCACCAAAGGACCACTTTTAGTTGCATGTACAGAAGTCGAGGTATTACGCGAGGGTTTACCATGGTTGATCAAAAGATTACCCATTGGATCGTTACTTATTGAAATATCATCATCGTCATTCTGATCATCATGTTCTGAAGATGATTTGTGAGCAGTTGATTCTTCACGAGTTTGATCATCCTCCGTATAATATTTATTATAATTGGGCAAGCAAGCCTTTTTATGCTCCGGTAACTTAGATAAGGATCTACCGTATAACTTGTAAGTTTTTTCATATAACAAGTTAAGTTCTTTCTCCACTATTGAATCCTCCCCCGTTTTCCCAGCAGCCGGATCATTTTCGCTAGATGATGTATCTTCCACGACGCTTGTCAATGACTGCAGGCTGAATCCCAACTTACTTGAAAGTTGACTCAAAAAGTGCCTCCAATTCTTTAAGTCCAACTTATTGGAGTTAAGATTGAGATTGCTGGTATTATTGTTACTAGTGGATGAACTCCCAAAGAGAGAGTTCGCTATGTTGGATGCATTCGACGAAGCCTGTGATTGAAATGGTAAGCACAGATCCCAATTAGGCACTATAACGTTCTCTTTCAAGTTTTCGTTCTTATGAGTATTTATTTCTTGGAACTCTTTGGCATCAGTGTGGGGTTTGTAAAGTACAGCATCGTCATCCGCATTGGTGGCTTCTTTCTTCGGGTTAGATGTGATTGAATGGTTCGAAGGTATAATCGTATTTGTGAATGACTCCTTTTTACTAGGTGCCTTGTTGCTGTTATTGTTGTTGTTACCATTGCCGTTGTCATTCTCGTTATTTACCGTAGTTGTGCTGGCAGCGTTCCCACCGTTCCAGAACCCCCATGATGATTTCTTAGATGTTACATGATCGTCAATCACATTACCCTTGTCAGGATCTTCATACTCTTCATCTACAGTACCATTGTCGTTATCTTCTTCGTCATATATGGCTTCTTCACTTCCTCCTTCTTTATCCTTATCGTCCATTTTGCCAAAGACAGCATCTGATCCCGAACGGCTCTTGTTCCAGCTTCCAAGCCAAGTATTGCTTGAAAGTGAAGCGAATGTCATCGACTCCCGTCTGAAAGCACCTACATTGTTTACAGAATTAGTGTTGCCTTCTGGTGGTGTCGCTACAGCACCATCTACAGTATTTGCTTCGCTACTTGGTCCACTAGGTACTGGAGAAGTACCTTTCGACTGTCCCGCACTTTTCTGATCGTCTGCTTGACTGGACCAAGGAAGCCAGCTCCCCTGAATACTAATGCTAGGAGCTCTAGACATGCTTTGTGCAATAAACTACTAATAATCCTACGAAAAGAAGGAATAAACTTTATATTATCCTTCTACACTTTCTCTCTTTTTTTTGCCGCTGATGCGCAAACGTCTTGTTTTAATTTTGCTATCACTGCTGGTGAGAATCGAGGTAATCTTCACATGATGAATGTTTCCCCACGTTATGATCGTTATGATAATTAAAAAAGAAGCACAAATTCACCAAAGGCAGGATTGACATTTTCGACACATTTCCAGTTATAGAATATTCTACGGATAAGTCAGTGAACTTTATTTATTTTCTAATCTATTCTAATTCTATTGTCTTCTATAAATGTATAAAAAGTAGAATTAAAATTAAATTCTGAGCTAGTGCATCTCTCTCTGACATTTCTCTAGGTTTGTGAAATTCTAAGCTATTCTATTCGTCTGATAGTACTCTACTAGAATTTATTTAAGTATGTCTCTATACTCCTGAAGAATTTCGTCATTGATTGCAACCCCACCACATACAATTACTACAACGATGTCGTTTTCTTTCAAATCCAATTTATCCAACAAATCTGTTCTTGACATGACTGTACAGGTGGATGCACCACAGGCTGGTTCAATCAATCTCTTATCGAAGGTGTCGTAATAATCAACTGTACCTTGTAAGGAATCCTTATCGTCGATAAGCTCCAAATGAGTTTTGATCTCTGTAGATTTATAATTTTCTAACGATTTCTCGGAAATGTAAGGAGAAGCCAAAGAAATAGCTAATGTTGGAACCTTCTCTAGTCTGACCAGTTTCCCTTGCTTAACTCCTTCATGGAAGCAAGCGGCTTGTTTTGTTTCCACCGCAACCACTGCTACATCGTTTAGGTTATTTCTCTTTAAACCCTCTACTATACCATTATATAATCCTCCACCTCCTACACTACAAACTACAGCTTTCAAGTTAGATAAGTCGCTAGCAGAGAATTGCTCAGGTAAGTCATCAATAATGGCAGCGTGACCCTCCCAAACAGTAGGATTGTCGAATGGATGACAGTATACTGGGTAAATGTCAGAAGGTGACAGCTTGATGACTGTTTCACGCAAGTATTCATCGGCTTCCCCCCAATGATTTCCGTGGACAATTACTTCGGCGCCCAATTCTTCCAATTTGTGGATCACCACCTGCTTGGAAATCTTGGGTAATACTACAGTACAGGGGACCTGGTAATATTTAGAAGCATAGGCAGCTGCCAATCCTGCATTTCCACCAGAAGATGAAAATACCTTGACGCCTTTTTTGCCTTCTTCTCTTGCTTTCTGAATCGATTTGCCGACTAAATGTCCGAGCCCTCTAAGCTTGAAAGAACCAGAGGGTTGATCTAATTCATTCTTGAAAAACACTCTGTAATTGGTTTTAAGGATAGATGTTACTTCTACGAGGGAACTGTTAATTGAAGGGTAGCTCATATTATAAGCAATGTGGTCAGGCAACAGTAAGAGTAAGATTAGGAGATAAGGATTTTGTCGATAAAATTTTGTCGACCATCGTGCGAGTATCTATATCTGGATTTAATGTATATATCTGGATTTAATGTATCGCATCTTTATTCCTGGTTATACACTCTCTCTTGCATTAATTTTCCCTGTGTATATAGTCTAGTATCATGTCGAAGAAGGGGTTCCATAAGTCGTCACAGTTTGAATTAGTACCTGAATACATCGAAAATGAAATAATTCAATTATACAAGAGCCTTAATGATTCAGACCTATTTTTCAGTGATTTACCAAATTTTTTCAAACGACTAGGCATTGAAGAGATTTTCATAAAGGACATCATTAACTGTGTAGAATATTTCTATAATCAAATCTATAGTAAGGATGATGTTGATTTGAATGTAGCAGAGAATGCAAAACAATATATAACGCTAAAGGCCGTTAAGAGTTTCACCATAACTCAATCGATAGACAACTTGGACGATATAATTGATGTGATCGATGTACAAAAACTAATAAAGAACAGTGGGAAATTGATAAAGCTTAGGGACAACTTTGAGTTGATAGTAGATAGCTGGTCATTGTTTGTTAAGGCCGGAGACCAAAGCAATAAGAATATTGGAAAGGACGAAATACTAAACTACAGACTAACATTACCCCATCTACAGAAAATTAAGCAAGAATTAGGTCTCGAAGAGAGCTTGAGTGATTCTTCACTAATTGACATGCTAGGCTCATGTGCGACGAGTGGTGATGACATTGTAAATTATGACTGGGATAAGCTAAAAGAAGGGAAATACGTGAATATCCGAGACTTTGCCGAGATCATGGGTCAACTTGGAGAATTTGATTAGAAATACAATACATACAGTAGGGTAAATATAAAATGCTGGGTGCGATGTGCAGCATTTTCCTGTAGAAGCTCAGCTCTTTTAGTCTTCGCCTTTATTAGTTCTATGCCTTTCATATCTTCGCACAACACTTTCCACACACTGTATATCCTCTGTCCTTCATTCCTTTTCCTTTTCCTTTTCCTTTATCTTGAGTTACAAAAGTTGTATTGCACGATTTTCCAATTCTCCGATGAATCGTAGGAACAATGCATACAATACATTTCAAAAGCATTATATAGACCTGTTGCTTCCTGTGGGGAACCTCGAGAATCTTCAAACTATTGATGATTTCTTGTATCAAATTGAGAGCACCATTGCTAGATCTGACGACTACATTCCTTCATCTGTAATATTTAGTGTTCTATTGACATTATCCGTTGAATCCATAACTATAAACAGGCGTGGTACAACCGCAATTGATGGTGTGGTGCCATCTTCTGCTTCGATTTCTTCGGAGATTTCTAGAAACTACGACGATTCGTACAGTGCTCCGGTTCATATGAGAGCTCTTTCTATTTTGAATAGGTACTTGAAGCTAACTATAATGCAGATTAAAGGCGGTCAAGATTCTTCTACCTTTAACGAAATAAAGGCCATGTTTATGCAATTTTTAATACTTAGATCATCTAAGAGAGGGTTAAGAAACGTTCATAAGGTCAACTATGACGTAGTGAACCAGTTTGAAAGAATTTTGAATGAAAAATTGGTCGACAGCTCACAAGAAAATAGTCGAAGCAAATATGAACTAGATAATGATATCGTTAGCGACTCAGAAGAGGAATTAGAAGTAATCTCTCAACCATTTATGCAAAGCGAATTGAAGAGGTTTCACCAGAGGTCTTCGAAAACCTCAAATTTACCTACTCCGCCTAATGGAGTCCTGGAGACATCGGCTCTTTTGGAAGGTATGCCTCACATGGAGACAAGGTCTCCCACACCAGGCACATCTAATCAGGTAGGTATACTTGAAATTTTTGGTGAAGATCTACTACCATACAAGCTAAATCCATTAAACGAACTGTATGATTTCTGGCAACTACTTCAATGGTGCTTAAATTGCAATAATCTGGTGATATACAGCAATTACAATAAGATATTGCTGTGGATGATAGACTTTGTAATTCTCGACTACCGAAAGTACATTAATGGGAGTAATAAAAGTGATGAGCTGCTGGTGCTTTTGGTTTGCTTGTTGCATCAATTGAGCTCCAAAAGAATAGACTGGCATGACAGGCTAGTAGAGTTTACTATGCTGGGACTCACTTCGCTCAACAAATGCCATCCATGCTACAAACGAGAGAAATGGTGGAAGACACCTACCAAACAGCAAACGTTTGAGTTAGCGTTTCCACAATTTTCGTTGCATACAGACTCCACAGTCCTAAGGACTAAAATCTTATTGATGGTTTACATTCATGATCAATACCTGAAGGAATTTCCTAACAAACTAGTCAAGCTAGTAGCTCCGAAAGTGTTTCAATCACCTCTTAATGTTATACGGCAATTCTTCGTCAAGTATCATGACATGCTCAAGTATTTTCCTAATTCAGAATTGGCTCAGTTTTACTTGGAGTTAAGCATTTACCTTCTACGAGAATATAATATCGACATTCCTGTCAATGGTTCTAAGGCTGTGGGGTTCATATTAAACCTCATGAGTGACAAACTCGTATTTAAAGATTTTGTACTAGAAACCTTTCAATATTCTTCTCTAGGAGAATTCACAGAGGAAAAGGAAAAGTTCCAATTCCTTGTTGGATGTATGCTTCAAAGTGTTAGCAAAATTGTGGATACGTCGGAATACTTAGGAGTCCTAAAAGTAGCACATAAAATGCTGAGCGAAGCGTTCATTGACTTAGAATCTAGTTTGCACCACGTTAAGTCAACCCGTAAAGGTTCTGAGAAACTACAATTTGATAATATTATAAGAGAAAGAAGAAGACATGAAAGGGTAAGACGTGAGCGTCTTCATATCATCTTGGGTTTAGGCACCAAGCCTGAAAAGCAACAGGCTGGAAAGCTCTGCTGGCCAGAGATGCAAGTATAGAGGGACGCTACATTTCACTATACTGTCCGAGAACAAACCCTGGAGATAGAGAAAGCAATAGAGAAAAGGTTCAAAGGGTAATGCAGACTCCAGTACTACCACGCTGAGAGAGTTAACTAACTGATATATTGTCAGCCATTTCAGAGTTGCGGCAGTACTATACCATTATCTGCCTCACTGGCTAGCTAACGCCTTACAGGTCACTTGCTTGGTATCGAATATAGACATTAGGTACTAAATACGTCGAGATTATATTAAATTCATCCTGAACCAACTCTTAAAATCTATCATACCTCGTCTCTATACTTTTTTGCGCTAGGCACTGCTCTTCATCCAGGTTTATTATTTTCTGGATCTATTTACTTGATTTTACTTGACTTCGCTCTTTGCTTTACTTAAATGATGTGCTTGACCTTGAAGTAGTGTCTCAAGTAGCTGATTTGCCACACACCCAAACCAATTAAGGCAAAGATGACAATCATGGAGAACCACTTAACTCTAGCGTTGGTGGACTCGTTGGTGTCTCTCATTCTTTCTTCTCTACCCTTTAAGTATTGCAATTCTTGAGTGATTTCTAAACTCATTTCGTAGATCCTTCTCAATTCAACTTCACTTGGCTTTAACTTTTCGGAAGCCTCGAGAGCATTCCAGTCTCTGGCAGCAGCACCACTTTCGATGTCCAATTCAATCTCTCTGTAGGAATTTCCACCTCTATTATTAAACTTCTTATTGGCTGTGTTGGTGAAACAGATATCAACAGCAGCATTGTGCAACGATGTGAACGCAACCCTGTTCTTGCCAGCAATATCATTCTTACGACGGTATTCATTTCCCAACGAATCCACAATGTAGAAATTTAAAACTTGTCCATCACCAATTCTACCACTGGATGCAATACTCACTACAACCAACTGTTGATCTTGAATGAAATCACGAATACAAACTGGCTTGGGATTGGACTCAGCAGGAATCTCCAAATGTAATCCTGCAACTATGCAAAAGAGCGAGAGAAATGCAAAAATTAACTTCATACTTATAATCTGCGTTTCTGTACCTTTCTAGTGTGTTTATGGACAGTATACCTTTTCCTTCTTGTTTTCATAACCGTGTCCATAAATCTGCGAGTCGCTTTGGATTTTTTTCACCATTTACGAATGATTTGGGAGAGGCTTTTGTGTCGCGTTTAGGGTTGTATGCAGGGTGGAATATTTATAGCATGAAAAAAAAAATGGGAAGAAAAATAATTTGGCTGGGGACGATAATTGTAGCAAGAGAGTCGCTCAGCAATGGAATAAGAAGATTGAGGAAGACGGGGGTCTGGTTGAGTAAGGGAGAGGAGGGGGGAAGAAGGGAGCAGAAGTGGGAAGGAGACAGAAGAAGAGACGCTGTTTTGTTTTTCTTCTCGTTTTTGTAGTACTAGATGGCCAGCAGCATGCTATGTCTATCCCTGTTGTTACACTCTTGGCTGCTCTTGGGCCTGCTCTTTGGCTTGCTCTTTGGTCTGCTCCTTGTCCTGCTGCTTGGCCTGCTGTTTGGCCTGCTGTTTGGCCTGCACTGTAGCCCTTGAAGTTCCCCAGGCTCTTCCGCCAGAAGGCGCGCACTTACTAGCACCTCTTTTCCTCTTATCGGCATTCTTTTTTTTTTCGTTCCTATTTAGGAAGTCAACGAAGTACTCAAAACTTTGAAATTTTTGCTTCTCACTCTTTTTTTTTCACCTCTAGCTCCCATCCAAAGTATAACACATATCTACCCGCTACTCGCTCTTCTTCCCGCTACATTTAATACCTAATCAAAGATGGCTAAGGCTAAGTCTGCTCAAACCATGGTCAAATTGGTTTCCCAAGCAAAAACAGGGTATGAAAAGTGGTTCTCGATAAATAGATCCTGTCAAAGACTAAACTTGATTTTATACGACCCTAGAGCAAAGAGACATGTTCTATTCACAGAAGATAAAAAGAGGAAAGTGCCCGAACTTTTCCCAAAGGACTTTGCTAGAAGACATAGGTGAGCTAATAACATACTTTATTGGTGATTATATGGATAACTGGCCTTGAATAGTATTAGTATACGGTTTATACTTTGTTCCATATGCTTGTGTGCAGGAAATTGTTGATTTTCACTTCATCTTCATTGCACGGAACTTCAACTCATCAATTACAAGCTATATAGTACAACAAAGCAAGGCCATTTTTAGCATTCAATAAGAAAATTTTTGGGAGGATAAGTGTATATACCTTTCGTGTGGGCTTGTATATAGATAACAGATAGAAATGAAAGGAATTCTTAGATATTCGCAATGTAGGTTTCAACATCAATAGAAGTGATCTGAACAGAACACTAATACCAGAAGAGGCGCCCACGGCAAGAAAGGGCCACTAGTCTGTCCTACTAGACTTATCTAACGGACACAAGCAAAAAATAATGAAGGATGCGAGGTTCGAACTCGCGCGGACACTGTCCAGTAGATCTTAAGTCTACCGCCTTAGACCACTCGGCCAACCCTCCAATTTTGATTTCAAGGAAACAGGTGGAAGATAGCCCTATAACCAACTACTCTTACTTATAGCTTGCAAAGTTGATAGACAACCGTCAAGTATCTAGCAGGACATATTATTTTGCTAGAGTGAATATCCGCATTTATATAAGCACGGTTGGTATATGAGAACGTATCGGGTGAACTTCGCTAAGAATTTGGCGTTCAATGCATCTAGAAATTTTAAATAAAGGCGTGGATCTGAATATAAGGTAACTCAGCAGGTAGAATTGATGCAAGCTGACGAGGTTCTTTGTTGCACAAGCCGAGAGAGCAATAGGTTTTCGCTGAAAATGGGCAATCGCGCAGCATATTAATATTTGGGGCTACCAGACTAAATTGAGTAAACGAGTGCCCTCAGCTGTGAATTGACAGTCCCTTCCACTTATACATGTCAATTGATGGATTTTATTAAAGTAGAAATTAGTAGCCCAAATTGCGTATACAGGCAGCTATCGATAAAAGAGCGTAATATGGTCTAGTGAGCTAGACAATAGTTACAACTTTTTACGCAGACTAAGCTTTTTCCATGCGTCAATATGCGAAAGAAGAAAATTGATGCAGAAGCCGATATGCATTTCATCGAGCTTTCCAAAGCAGCCAAGAGGGACACATCATTGTATTAGTAATTATGCATTCCCTACTTCGTCGAAAGGTGGGGGTAAATCTTCTTTCAAAAAGAGAATCTTCATTCTGTGCTTCAGATTACTAAAAAGTGCATTAGCAAGGGGCGGAAATAATGCGTTAATCCCTGTAGGTGCATATCTGCTTACGTTGCAAAAATTTGGAAAAATAGACCATAGAGAAACCATCTATAAGAAGAACTATAAAAACAACTCCGAAACCTTTCATGATATCTGATTTTCACCAAGCGAGTTTATTTATTCACTATAGATAGATACAACTAGTTCAGAAATTGCCAATGTCCTCTTACAAACCATCAGTTTTAATCACAGGACCTAATGGGACTGTGGGTTCCCAAATTGTCAAAGCTATTCTTAAGAAGAAGGATAATTTAGGGAACATTGGCTTCTTAGCAAGAGAAGAGTCTCCTAGATATGATCTGTTGAAGAGCCAAGGCTTTCAACTTGAATTTAAGAGCTCTGGTGCATCTGCCATAAAGGGAAAGTATGATATATATGTTATTTGTCTTGCGGCTACTGCAACCAGTGAGGAAATAGGATTAATTGAATTTGCAATTGAGGCAGGCATTAAGACTATTTATCCTTCTGAGTTTGGATTTGACACTGAGCAATTTAGAAGTCTTCCTCCATTTGCTCCGAAGATTGCAGTTGGAGATTATTTGAAAAAGAAAAATGAAGAAGGTGTTTTAGATTATGTTACGGTTCTCGCAAATTCCTTCTTCGATAAGGGTATTGAGGACGGTGGATCCTGGTGTTTTGATTTGAAAAATAGAGAAGCAATCATCTTTGATGGGGGAGACTACAAAGTGAGCTGGACATATTTGCCTGATCTTGGAGAATTGGTTGTTGAATCTTTCTTCGACAAATCCATTAGGAATACTTCGATCAATGTCACGTCATTTGTTGCAACTCAGGAAGAAATCTTAAAAGAATTCGAAAAGCAAACAAATTCAGAATGGAAGAGAATTGACACGAGCTTATCCGCTTTTGCAAGTGAGAAAACTGATGACTTTGCTAAGAAAATCAAACATTTCTTGAACTCATGCGCCTACAATAAAGAGTCAGCTGCTAAGTTCAATGCAAGGGCCCCATTAAGATATGACAATGAAGTAAAAATCCATAGTTTAGCTGAAGTCATTACTGCGCTTGTGAAGAAATCTTCTTAATTGTCCTAAGTGATATTTTATTTTTATGTACATCCTTTCGTGAATAAATGTCTTTATTGAATCTTTGCATCAATCTGTAACTATATACAAGCTCTCTTACGTTGTCACTGGCTGAGCACCTTATTCTACTAGTGTGAATTTTATAGAAATACAGTTGGTATGTGAGAAAATATGAAAAATATTTTAGCTTAGAATTTGGCGTTTAAAGCATCCTCAATGCGTAAATAGACATGTGGCTCAGAATGTAAGCTGAGTAAGTAGATTTGATGAAAATTGGTTCTTTTTTTTAAACTAGCCGAGATTGCAATTGGTTTACAGTGAGCAATTACGCAAGATATCAATATTTGGGGTTTCTATACCGAATGGAGAATATTAATACCCTGAACTGTGGATTAACAGCGCATTCCAACAAATCATGTCAATTCATGGATTTTATTGAAGTAGGTAGCATTAGCTAAAATCTGAGTATATCAATACAGGTATCGATAGAAGAACGTAATATTTTTTAGGGACAATAGCTACAACATTTTGCGTAGACAAAGCACGTTTTTCCATGCATCTACATGCGAAAGAAGAAAAGTTTGATGCAGAAGGGGTGAAGAGGCATGCATGTCACGAAGCATCCAAAAGCAGCAAAGCGGGCCACACCAAGTGATTTTACACCTTACACCTTCGAGAAAAGTTAAGTGATCTAGGATCTGGCTGTAAACTGTAATTGAGATTACTAAGTAGTCTATTAGTAAGGGGCGGAATTAAGGGGTTAATTCCTGTAGGTGCATTTTAGCTTACTATGCACAATTGAAAAGTTTGGACCGTGGGGAACTCACAAGAAAACTATAAAAGCAACCATAAAACCTTCTACCATATCTGACTTTACATAAGTTATATTATTGACTCAGTACAAATAGAAATAAATAATTGAGTAATTTACAATGTCCTCTTACAAACCATCAGTTTTAATCACAGGTCCTAATGGGACTGTGGGTTCTAATATTGTCAAAGCTATTCTTAAGAAGAAGGATAATTTAGGAAATATTGGCTTCTTAGCAAGAGAAGAATCTCCTAGATATGATCTGTTGAAGAGCCAAGGCTTTCAACTTGAACTTAAGAGCTCTGGTGCATCTGCCATAAAGGGAAAGTATGATATATATGTTATTTGTCTTGCAGCCACTGCAACAGCTGAAGAATTAGAATTAGTCAAATTTGCAGTTGAGGCAGGCATTAAGACTATTTATCCTTCTGAGTATGGATTTGATACAGACCTACTTAGAGATGTTGGTGGTCCATTTGCACCAAAGATTGAAGTTTTAGACTACTTAAAGAAGAAAAATGAGGAAGGTGTTTTAGATTATGTTAAGGTTCTCGCGAATTCATTCTTCGATTGGGGTATTGAAGCTGGTGGATTTTGGGGTTTTGACTTGAAAAATAAAGAAGCAATCATCTTTGATGGGGGAGACTACAAAGTGAGCTGGACATATTTGCCTGATCTTGGAGAATTGGTTGTTGAATCTTTCTTCGACAAATCCATTAGGAATACTTCGATCAATGTCACGTCATTTGTTGCAACTCAGGAAGAAATCTTAAAAGAATTCGAAAAGCAAACAAATTCAGAATGGAAGAGAATTGACACGAGTTTGTCCGTTTTTGCAAATGAGAAAACTGATGACCATGCTGATAAGATTAAACGTTTCTTAAACTCATTTGCTTACAGTAAAGAATTGGCTGTTAAGTTCAATGCAAGGGACCAATTAAGATATGACAATGAAGTAAAGGTCCATAGCTTGGCTGAAGTCATTTCTGCGCTTGTGAAGAAATCTTCTTAATCGCTCTAAATGATATATGATTTTTTATGTACATCTTATCGTGAATAAAAGCGTTTTTTAATTTCTTACACTGATCTATAACTATATACAAGCGCTATTAATTCTTTTTTAAAAGTTACAAGTCTTTCATATCCCATTTACCTTCTAAATTGGAACCTTCCAATTTGTTGATAACGGTAACAGTTTCTTTCTCATTTCCAGTCACCAAGTATTTTGACGCAGCATCTTTCAAATCATCCTTGGTAACGTCTAGGAACCACTCCCTACGCTTTTGTTTCATTTCATCCGTAATCCCTCTCAAAAAGTCGGAGGACCCTTGCAGAGCAATGTTGCTGGGAGCATCAACACTTTGAAATATTGCTAACTTAGCCTCTTGCAAATCGTTCAGATCCCAGTTCTTATCAATCTTTGTTAAAACCACCTTCGACACATCTTTGAAGGACTGAATTGATTTTAATGGATTTGGATCTCTATAAGAATAGAAATTGAGAACACCGCCTAATCCATCATAGTTCAATCCTCCTCCATAGGCACCATTGGCTTCTCTAATAATCGAGTGCAAATGCTTATTAGAAACTAATTGAGACAAAACTTGCAAGGTTGCACCGTCTTTCGTTAAGTATGGACTACCTACTTTTGCCATCGAAGCAAATCCGATTTGATATGGTAAATTGATGAAAGTATTGACTCCGCCATTTGCATTATTATCAAATGATGATACAATTGCAGGCAATTGGCTAGGTAATATATCGAGTTTAGTGTGGGCAAATTTTCCTTCAAGTTGTTCTATCAATTTCGCATTCTCATCAACACTACTACTATCACCAAGGATACTATAATCAAATCCAGATTCTACTGCACTGCCTATCAAAAGATTCTGAATTTCTTTTAACATTGGAATTACTTCAGAAACTAAGAAGTCGTTACCATTTAATGCTAACTTCTCATTCAATTCCTTTATAAATTGAATCTGCCCAAGTCCAGATTTCAAATCAGTAATATATTTAGTTGGTGTCAACAATGAATTAGAGTAGGAACTTGCATAAACGTTACCCCGATCAGCAATTGTATTTAATTGGTTTAAGCCTAAGTTTTTAATCAATGTTGAAAGCTTCTCTAACACCAAATCATCGTTAGGTTCAAATTTGGTATTATATAAGATATCATACCATAACTCATAAACATGTTGCAGATTGCTAGTCAAGGACATACCATCCATCACAAAATTTAGTTTAATCTTGTTACTGAAAAGATCTGAAGGATCAGTGACAACTTGTGTGCTGAAGGATACTCCACCAGTAAGCTGTTGGATCTTGGTTTCCAATTCAGTAATTGGGTAAGTGTTGGTTCCAGCTAAATTAGTTAAACAAGACGTAAAGAGAGGTAAATATTGTATGTACTTGGATGCTAAATACGAAATATCTTTCTTTGCTGACATGTAGCTTAAGCCATTTGCGTCAACTACTCTCTTCTGAATACTAGCCGTCTTATACGTTGTGAATTGTAATTCATGGAAATCTCCCTTTCTCGGGATATCTGCTAATGTTAATGTGGGCAATACTGATGCATCTTGTTCAATCTGTTGCTTTTCAGATAATTCCAAACTTCTTCTATATATAATTTCTTTGTCTTCCTCAGTCAAGTTTTCAGTCTTTTGTTTCAAGTTAGATTGCTCCAGTTGGTCTAATTCCTTTTCAAAATTGGCGTTTGGAATCATTGTAAATTTGAATTTCTTTGTAGTTGGCAGTAATATTGAATTTTCAATCAAGTCTAAGAATATTTTCAATCCATCTTTCTCATAATCCTCTTTAAATTGGTTTATGATGTGTTGTACTTGTAATGTATGTATCGGGCTAAGGTTATTTGTCCAAGTTGGCATTATTGAGTTCAAAAGTCCTAATCCAAAGTTGGCCTTATGCTTTTTAAAATTAAGTTCAATTTGGTGTAAAACAGCCAAAATTCTTTCATGGAAGATACCTTGACCCTCGCCTTTTAATTCTGGTACAACTTTATTGTTGAAAATGTCACGGATTTTATCTTCTAATCCATCTACCTTAGAAAGAGTTAAATTTTCTAAACCAATGGTGATTGAAAGAAGTGCAGTTGTGTTATCCAATCCAGCATTTGAAGTGAAATCATCCCCATAACTTTTCTCGATTAATTCTTGATAGAAAGGGGCGTTATGGCCATCAAACAATAAAGAATTTAAGATCTTCCACTTAAAAATATTGTATTGTTGCAGCTCGTCAAGAGGGTTGCCTAAGTCCCAAGTAATAGATGCTTTGTACTGTTCATCAATTGGTTTACCATTCATCGAATCAAAGGGTCCATCACAAGTGATTGAAATATCATCTTTATTACTCTTTTGGAAAATAGGTTGCTTAACCTTTTTATTAATACCTCTTTTCCCAAAAGTACCATACCACTCATTTATCTTTTGTAAATGATCATTCAATGGCATTGATCCGTAAGTAAAGGTCTTTGCATTAGAAGGATGGTAGTTTGAAGAATGGAAATCAATCAAATCTTCGTAGTCTAATTTGACAATGTCCTTTGGATCTCCTCCGGAATTCCCCAACGATGCGTATATGGCTTCTTGGAATTTAATGTAATAGTAGTAGGCAGAATTGGAGTACTGACCTTTCATTTCATTATACACAACTCCCTTAAAGGCTAATGGTGAATCCTTCACATCTAAGTTCTCAGGTTCTAATCTCCACCCTTCTTGCAGGAAGTCTTCATAGGTTAACTTGGGCTCCAAGACTGAGGATAAGTAGACATCCATCAAATTCTGAAAGTCTTTCAGGTTGGTAGTTGCAAAAGGATAAAACGTATAATCATGGCCAGTCATAGCATTCATGAAGTTGGCCAACGATCTGTTAAGCATTTTAAAAAAGGGATCTCTTATGGGGTATTTGTAGGAACCACATAAAGTTGTGTGCTCCAAAATGTGCGGAACACCAGTTGCATTGGGGGCATTAGTTTTGAAGCCGATCAGAAAAACGTTGTTCCTATCAGTTTCAGAATGTAAATGTAAATGCTCGGATCCTGTCTTTGCATGTTTTAACTTCACTGCTACAATGGAAAATTCGGCTATTGGCTGTACCTCTTCGATGGAAAATCCATGCGTTTGAAGTCCGACTGGGTACTTGCTTAAAATGCGACCGAGCGATGCACTTGAGCTTGCCTTCCTAACAATACCCTTTCTAAGCTGGTCTGTGACCGCTCCTTTTAACTTAGTTCGTAATGACAACATAGCTCTAAGATATATCCTCAGTATGTCTATATCTATGACAATATCTACAAAAGAAGTCTACTAGAAGAAACTTGCTAGAGTATTGGGATGTAATCGGTTCAATTATTGACCATGGAATGAATCATGTCCGCGAAAAACTGAAAAATATCTGACAAAACAAAATGATCTAGAAGTAGGTAACAGAACCAGCAATTTAGTTACAACTTGGGGTCGAAGATTCTTTTCAAATACATAGAATGTAGGTGATTTCATTTGAAACTACAAGTCATTTGCTATAAGCGGGACCTTTTTGCTTGTTTTTGCTTGTCTGCTATAGATCACCAGCTAGTGGGAGCCGGAGATGGTATGCAGCATTGGCTATCTTTTGACAGTATGCCAGCTTCAGTTTCCACGTGACTTCATGACATCTCGGCTAGGATCAGTGAGTTTCTTTTTTTCTTCGACCTTTTGAAGTCGAAAAAGTAAAAAAAAAATAGTAAAAGAATATTGATAAGAAGTCCCCGATTAGTCTGTAGTTCATAGTTGTGTGAAGATTGGATTGGGTGGATAATTACCCTTGCATACTTTTCGGCGATTTTATTTATTTATTTATTCATTTATTGAGTTTGGTTTAAAAGAAGGTTTGAAGAAACAACGGTCTAGTTTAATTTTTTCTTCACTCAAAGGGTACATTTAGAAAACTTGTTTGAATCATGACCGAACAGAATTCAAAGAAACCTGTAAACGCTGCTGCAAATATATCCACCTTGGGTGGTTTCTTAGCAGGTAGTTTGGCTGCTTGTGGAGCTGTTACATTCACAAATCCCATCGAACTTATTAAGACTCGTATGCAATTACAAGGTGAATTATCGAAGTCCGATAAGAAAATGCCAAAACTCTATAAAAATCCTGCACAGGCATTCGTTGTGATTTTTAAGAATGAAGGTATAAGAGGTTTACAACAAGGTTTAACGTGCGCTTATCTCAATCAGATTGCTCTTAATGGTTGTAGATTGGGGTTATACGAGCCAAGTAGATATTATTTTACCAAGTTCTTTGACTCTAGTAACTTTGATGAGGCATCAGGACCTAAGAGCCAAAGGATGTTGATTAATGTATGTGCAGGAACTTTTACTGGTATGGTAGGTGCAGTTATGGCAAATCCTTTCTTTTTAATCAAGACAAGAATGCAATCATATTCTTCTGCGGCTGCAACCTCTAAGTTAGCAGGTATAAACATTGGTCAACAGACATTCTATCACAGCACATGGCATGGATTGAAGTCAATCTATAAACTTGAAGGAGTTAAGGGCTTATTTAGAGGAGTTAGTGCAGCTATGGTGAGAACAGGTTCTGGTGCGTCTGTTCAGTTGCCTGTGTATAACCTTACCAAACAGTACTTACTTGATAATAATTTGGTTAAAGATGGTTCATTGAGCTTGCACTTTTTCGCATCTTCTACGGCTGGTTTGGCTGTTGCAATTTTCATGAACCCTGGTGATGTTATCTTGACTAGAGTTTACAATCAAAAAGGAGATTTATATAAGGGTATGGTCGACTGTTTCGTTAAGACTGTCAGGGCAGAAGGTGTGATGTCCTTGTACAAAGGATTTTGGGCACAATTACTTAGAATTGGACCTCATCTGATCTTGACCTTAATGTTTATGGAACACTCCATGAAGTTTGTGAGTACTATTGAAAAGAAGCTCATTTTTAATTAAAAATACCAATTTTGTACTATGATTTAATTATGTTATGCTCTCTTGTAACTTGATTTAATTACCGAGGAAATTATCAACGGTAAGAGAAATGTAGAATCTTGCTGGGCCCCTGAGGGACCTTAGGGGAATACGTATAACATAGGTACAAAATAAATATTAAAAAAATATTGAAAAAAAATTTTAAGCGAAGTAACGCATTTTGACTGCAGCACGAGGTGCGTTTTGCAGTACGCAGAGACCATGACACATATGCAGGTGAAAATTATACATAAAAAATAATACTAGGGTGCCCTCTCGCATTACTTTTGAAACACGAAAGTTACTCCCGTCTCGGAAATTTCTTCTAAGGTGAACTTATTATGTTTAGAACTGTATTGGCTCAGCCTAGGGCTCTCTACTAATCACAAAATAAACAGTTTTTTCCAAGTTGATTCAAAGTAATAAAAAAATGCTAAGAACATTTGCTGTTGATTGTAGCCATATATAGTTAGATTCGCTAGGAATGAAAAGCTTGAACAACAGGGTTAGCATAGTCATATTGGTGCTGGTCATTATTTGTAGACCATACTGCTCCCATACTGCTTCCGAATGGGAATAAGTTATCGAGCCCGTCGCCCAAGAGATTAAAAATAGCCAGACACGAAAATATTCGGAATGTCAAGAATAATCTTCATCGTAAACAATTGCTAAAACAAATGGTAAGATCAGCATGAACTTGATAATTTCCTAGAATTTGAGTTTAATGGCGTAAAATACACTTCTTAGAAGATTTCTTCGTAATTCTGTCTTGGTCGTCTCTAAAGTTAAATTTCTGCCACCACTTTCCTAACCACTCTTTGTTGCACCCAGATAACTCCATTGGGTTGCTCTGGAATGGTTTGCATATAATAACCAAATTTTCAAACTTCACGATTGCAGTGCAAAGTGAAAGGTCGGTCACGTTTTTTTACACTGACGGAATTATATGCAGAATAGTCAGGTAAAAAGAATTAGATGTGGTATTTACCATAGTCACGTGTGGTGAGCAAGTGGCAAAAAATGTACAACGCACTGAGCAGCAAGCCCGTCATTGAGGGGCGGCTATGTGGTAGTGACAGAGTGAGAAGGAGAGTGGCAAAGGGCCCTAGAAACGGAGGCAACAGTTAGAAGGAGACCAAGAAAAAGCGCTCTCCGCTGTAAGTTAAGTATAAGGAACAAAATATCAGCTACGGCTCTGCCTGGTCGTTGTGTATAGTAAAAAGGCTCTATCCCGTTATAGTAAGAGTATTCTGCGTGTGTTTACCGAATTTAATCACAGCTGGCACCAAAATAAAAAGATGAGATCAGACGGCACCCCCCACCACAAGTTAAATAATTTTATCTGACCTTCAACCCCAGAGAGTGAAATGATAACAGATGAAGAACAAGAGACACAGCACAAGAAGTCTCTCAGATCTGTAGCAATGTATCCCGCAAAGTACCTAATTCGAATCAGCGCATCCGTCCCGATTCGAATCCCTTCTCTAATGTCTCCCTTTTGCCCTAGTCCGCTTGTTTCACCACCTTCCTCCCATTTAACCTTCTGCCCTTAAACCCTTTTCTTTCTTTTTTTCTCGTATTACATCCCATTTAGGATTACCAATCAGCTCCCACTCCCACTGCGAAAATCATTAAGTGAAACTGAAAGGAACGCAAAAAAATAAAATTGGTAGGGGCCAGAGAAAATTTTGGTGAGCCAGACGGAGAAAAACAGAAAATCAATTAGCTAAGGCAAATTGGTGAAGGGCAAAAAAGGTGATCAGAATATCAGTAGCACGCCGTCGAATAATAGCAGCCGATTACTAGTTTTTTACAGTAAGATCATCACAAGTTTCTTCTTTTTCCCGTATGACCAGCAAATATTAAACCAAACTCGTAAATTCTGAAACAGTTAGCAAAAAGATTTTCTTTCCAAAAGACACAGAGAAGCATTTTTTTTATTATTAATAAACACCACTACTAATAATATAATCACAACAGAGTCATATACTAGTTACTATGCGTGATTCCAACTACAAATCTATAACCAACAACAAAGCGGCGGTTACCATAACCACATCCCTCTACGATCGGAGGGCACTTGACGTGACTTCGGATAAGCCTCTTGTCAACTCCTTGAATCACTTAACCTACTTGGTGTCATCCCTGGCCAAAGTTCGAGAAACTTTGTCGATGGATGGGGGTATTGAAAGACTCATCGAGATTTTACACGAGTGCCATAATCTGACTTTTAATGTTGTCGACAACATTTTCAATAGCGAACGGAAGCTCTTGACTGCCTGGAAGTGGACTTTGGCGTTCCAGTGTTTGGTTTTGATTGGGACTAGGGGTACGGAAAAGGTCAGGCTCAGAGTTGTGCAAGCTGGTATGTTACCTATCATTGCCACAGTGTTGGATAATTACTTGACTATTCATGAACGCTCGTTCATCTACGCAAATGGGGACCACTTTACTGGCAGTCAACCTCCTCAAGCACAGCCACAACTGCAGGGTATTGGTCTGAATAGTGGTGGTCATCAACATCATCATGCTCACCAGCAGCGTCAACCGGCTCAAGGAATCTCAGCACAACAACCACAGCTGCAAGCTGGGCCACTACCAATGCACCAACACCAATTCAACAGAGGACAGATGTTACAACAACACCATCAACACCAACAACATCATCAACAACAACACCAACAACATCAACAACCACATCAACAACATCAACAGCAGCAACAACAACAACAACAACAACAACAACAACAACAACAACAACAACAACAACAACAACAAGAACAACAACAACAACAGCAAACAGGTCAAATGCCGTTAAACCAATTCAATCAGCAGAATATCGCCCCACATACAATTCCTCCTCATAATATTCAAAATCTTCAAAACATTCCTCAGCAAATTCCTCTACAGGGACAACAGCAACAGCAACAGCAACAGCAGTCTCAAGAGCAACAAAGAGCACACGATCATAATGCCTTCCCTGAAGTAATTCCTCATGTCTCAATCCCTGAGCTAGAACCATCCACTCTTTCCATTGCTCGGCCAACTAATTCTACCTCATTGGCGGCAAACGATAGTATGGATCTCTTCAATAATCAGCTTTCAAGAATCGATTCTTATCCTCAGAATCAGCTGAGTTCACATTTCTTCTCTGGTGGACAAAATCTCACCAGTGATGACTATGATAACCTCACTGTTGAGCAACTTTTCAAGATCATCAAATTGAACGGATTGCCTAGGACACGCCCAGAAAATGAATCTGAACGTCAAGATATTACATCTATCAATAACGATGTCAGAAGAAGGTATCTCATAGTGAACATTATCCAAAAGCTTCGTAGAGAAAAAGAAAATGATGTTTTGGACTGCTCATGTTATAATGAATGTGATTACGATATGGATTGTGATCTTCAGTTCCTTTCAGATATGTATTTGCAAGAGGAACAAACTTCTAATAATTACTCGAATTTTGTCATCTCTAAGATTGCTCCGAGAAATTTCACTGAAACTGGTGTTGTAATCCCTAGAGACGACGATATAGTTTGGTCCTTACAATTACTTGCGTATATTTCCAAGTACCCTTACTTAAAGAGTGACTTACAGAACACTCATTTAGTTATAGACATGAGTATAAGAGATAAGCAAGTTAAGTTGTATTTGGAAAAGCAACTCAAGACTAAATTGAAAAAGAACTTTCTCATAGAATCTAGGCCAAAAGCTAAGCCAAAATCTAGAAAGAATAATAATAACGCTGCGAAGGGAGATTCTTACGTCGAAAGATTTAGATTATCTCCTAGTAATTCTCCTCAAATGTTGAATGATATCAAAGACCTCGATGAGGAAACATTTGTTTTGGACGATGAATTCGCCAAGGAACAGAGTAATGGGGACGAAAATAGGAATGGGAACGGAAATGGGAATGGAATTGGGAATGGAAATAATAATGCTAATAATGAAACTATAGAAAACGACAATCATAGACAAGGAAGCAATAACTCTAACGGTGTAATAGCAGATGATTATGATGAGGAGGATCTTGATGAACAAAGTTCTGACTCGTTGCTGCTATGTGGCGATGATGAAGACGGATCTACTACCAATGCTACTGGTAATAGTGACTCGAATAAGATTGCATCTGCATTAGTCAATTGTGGTACTTGCTCTGAATTGACTGAAAATCTGCTCCAAATATTGCATAATGATATTGTTAAAGCTGAGTCAGTCTCTGATGAATTGGAGAGGAAAATTTCTCTCTTCCATGTTGGGGAAGCTATCAATAGAACCGTAGAAGTTGAAAGAAAACAACTTAGCGAAGCTATTATGAACAAACGTGAGGAAAAATTGAAATATTTGACTGGTAGGTGGGATTACGACTCCTATGAAAATTTTGACATTGATTCAAATACACAGGAAGAAGACCTGGATTTTGATGATTCACTTGTTGAATATAAAAAGGCAAATTTATTTCCCATGGTTGAAAAATTCACTTTTCTTGCAGGAACTGATATGTACTACTGGGCAGGTGTGATCATGAGAAACTCCTGTCGAAGAAATGAGGCTAAGGGTGGAGTAAGACAATGTGGTAACTTGGAATGTGGTAAATGGGAATCTTATCCAAGAGAATTTCTGAAATGTCGAAGATGTAAAAGGACTAAATACTGCTCAAGAGAATGCCAAATGCGCGCATGGCAATGCCATCGTAATTGGTGCATTCAGAGTAACTCAAGTTCCGGGACTGCGATGAGTAGTTCGACAACATCTGGTCCACCGGTACCAGTACATGCGCAAGAACCAATGAGAGTTGATGTTATGACCCGACCACCAGTCGGGCCCAGCTAAAAATATAAAAAATCTGGTGTCAGTAGCGGCAGAAAATGTAGTGATTTTCTTTTTAAAATAAGTATTACTTGCCTCTCTCTCTTTATTTCTTTATTCTGTCTATCGTGCGAGAAAGTTTTACTGACTCTATCAATTAAAAGCAAGGGTAAGGACTAACTATAAGACTCCATGGGGGCGCTCTCTTCTACTCTCAGTTGGCTAAGAAGTGTTAAGTATGTTATCAATATATTATGGGTGTTCGGATGTCTCAAGTAGATGATGATTTTGGCACAGATAAGTCAACTATTTCTGTTTTAAATGACCCTAAGTTCACCATATTCTACATTTAGCATGCTTTTTTTCATTTTAAAGAAATTGTAGGGCTCTATTAAAAATAATTTAATTTTTTTCTCGATTTATAGACTTGGACTGAAATTTATTATGTTCCTAATTTTAAAATTTTCAGCTTTAAAGCTTAAACTTATTTTGGCTAATAAATAGATACGAGACTCTACAATACATCTTTTTACCTTTAAAATCAAGGTAATGCCTAGAGGATCCCATATACTTACAGGGGTAGAAAGGAACCCAAACCTATTGAAAATTTAGCATGGGGCTATCTTTTCGAAGTATTATTCTAATTTGGGTGAAAATAAACGGTACCTTGGCAAACTCATGAAAAGAAATTATTTTTTTGATACGCCTTTTAATACAATTCAACACAAGTGCAGAAAATAATTGTATTATCTATTTCTGAAACCTTAGCATACCATCGATATTTAGCCTCTATCAAGTAAGTAATAACCAGAAGATGGCGAATTTCATGCTTGGACACAAACTTGAAAAAAAACAAAATTACCTAAACAAACAAATCCTAAAAGCTTCTTTTCCTACTATAATTAGTAAAGCTTCACAGTCACCTGTACCTCGACTGTTCTCCGCATTTTTAGCTAACATATGAGCTTTTAGCACCCATGAAATTATTTGAATCTCGACTGCTCTCCGCATATCTTGCCTAACATAAGAGTTTCGAGAGGTTTGACTCATGAAACTATTGAACTTGCAAGAAGCACAAGTTCTGACAGTTATTTTTTGGAAAAGAGAAGAATCCATCCGTAAAATTTCTTTTTTTGCTAATTTGAGTTTTAAGTTATTTCGTACATTTGCATATTACGTGCAAAGTTATGCATGAATAAAATAAATAAATAGAAGACAATTCAACTGAGCCATGCATAGAAATGCCAATGGATGCATATGAAGGGGGTATGGGAATAGTTCAAATATTTTATGAATATTCATGTTTTAGCGAGAAAGAGCAATACGATATACCTTATTGTACTCATAAAAAAGCCTCAAATCTTCTCCTTTTCAATATTAGCTGATCAAAAACTACTTGAGCGGTGACATAATCTGAAGCAAACGTGAGGGTTGAATCGATGTCTAACCAGCAGGGCTTACTTAAAAAAGAAATACTCGCATTATTGCGATAGTCTCCTTTCTGATTACCACTTCAAGGAATATCATTTACTACCTTGTAAATCTCTATCTATAGCATAACATTCAAGAATCTTTCAAGTGATTCTTGTATGTTCAGAGTACGAATTTCTTAATTAAAAGAACTTCTATTTTTGAAATAAGAAAAGTGTGCGCTTAAAATCTTGAATCTGTGGTAGCGTTAGTCCGATATTAACAAATCTCGAAATTAAATTTGTCATTGTAAGGATAAACACCAGTTTTATTGCGTGTAACAATAGCGATTCCTTACTAAAGGGTTTAAGACTTTCTGCGTCCGTAAAAAGGAACAATCAGATCCACAATAACTCTCAGGAGAATTGCTAATCGTCTAAATCTCTTTTTTCTGCTGCATACACCTGCCATGCTGCGCGGACGCATCAAGCAGAACTGCACTTACATAATCCATGAGGCAAATCCGAATATTTTTTCAAGGCAAACACGGATATTAGAAACTTGTGGTTTTAATATCTTAATCTTCGGAAAGAATTGATAATAACAAACTACAACCTTTTCTAATACCCTTCCTACTAATATCTACAAATAGTTAGTTAGAAGCGATCTACATTATTACTCTTATTGGTACTTATTATCTTAAAGCTCAGCTTGACGAAAAGGTTGTCGCTCCCTTCAATTGTGTCAAGATAAATGAAAAAAAAGAAACGACATTTCTAAATTCTATAGCTTCCATTCACGTCAAGATACTTGCATTCTCTTTGATGGATCCCCAATTAAGTGAGAACTTTTCCACTATACTTATTCTAATCGCTCTTTTTGCTATCAGTAGTGACCATTCATGGGCTTTTCGAGTGCTATTGTCTTTCACGGTAATCGGATTGTTATGGACATTAAACAAAGATCGAATAATCAAGATCAAATTAATAAATCAAGCAAGAGTTCACCCTGATTTCATAGAGGGCTTTTTCACCCACTTATTACGTCTAATAAAATGAATGTTTCATTTGCAAGGCATTGGAGTGCCCTTATTTTATTTATTTATTTAGTAATAGAGCCGCACTAAGAAATAATATTTCATGCGTTTACATGCAAGTATCGCCTACCCTTTTGCTGCACCGAAAGTCTTTCGCCAAAAAGAGTTCAAAATTTTCAAAGCTGACAAAAAGTGGGCTAAGCCGCACATATTCTTTTACATCAGTGCTCATCTGTGTGCCTCAAAAACTGCAGCAAGTTTCTGCCTCATTACTCTTTATTATGTGTGAATGATGAGCATTTACTTTTCAAGTTGGTATCATTTATATATGCCATAGAGGCATGAATTAGATGTTTTTTTTCAGAATTTGGCTTTCAACCTTTAAATCTTCAAAGCAAGCACGTTCATTTTAATTTTATTCGTTGTTCTTACATTCTTTGAGCTTTTCAAAGTATAATTATTAAAAATATATACGGACTGAAAAAGTTACAAAGAATCAGAATCGTGATATTTAGCGAATATAGGTATAGAATATACAAGATAAAAGATAAATACGTACATTTGATATAAATAATAGAGAAAGAATGCTACCGTATGTTATCTTTATAACTTGGTTAAGCATGCTTGCTTCGACTGTGTCAGCAGCAACAATTGAAGGTATCTTCTCGAGCATTGACTCAATTACCTTCAATCCAGCTGCAACTACTTTTAATAGTTTAGTACCAGAAGGAATGTCATGGACAGCAGTGCTTAACTGGGCAATGGATGCAAATACCATGAACCCTGGAGATACTTTCACTTTACATCTTCCTTATGTTTTCAGAATTACCGCTTCAACCACTTACATTGGATTAACTGTGAATGATGTTTCATACGCCAATTGTACATTTTTCAGCGGTGAAATTACTGTCGATTACTCTGAGCTTCAATGTACAGTATCAAGCGCATTAAACTCAGGAATTCAAGCAAGTGGTCAATTATCGCTTCCATTTGTCTTCTCTGCAGGACAAGGTGGAGGAGCAGTAGATTTGGCTGCTTCAACGCAATACACCGCAGGTACTAATGATATTGTTTGGACTGATGGTTCAACTAAAGTTGCTGGTACTGCTGTATTTGATGCAGGAGTGACCTTAAACATCGTCACAAATCCTTCGGTCTTAAGTTATGGAGCTCGTAGTGTACCTTCTATTGGTGATATTCAAAGTTTGGTACTTGGTTCTACATGTAGTTCCACATTCAGTGGTAAATTAGGTGTTGTATTCACCACTGGAGATGTGATCGATTGTTCTACCACACATGTAGGTATGTCGAACCAAATAAACCCCTGGTTTTTCCCAGAAACTTCAGAAACTGTGAGTTACTCTGGATCTTGTACCACGAGTTCCTATGTTATTTCATTTACTGATGCCCCTGCGGGATATAGAGTATTTTTAGATGGGCTTTACACTCCAAACTCTGGTAGTGATATTAATGTGCAATATGTAAACGAAATTGTTTGTAACGGGGAAACCTTGGATAATTCTGACCTGGTTGATTGGCACAAAACTCCATCTGCAAATGCGAGCTCGAATGGGGACGAAATTGTTTGGACCACAGTGACATGGACAGGTTCAACAACTAGAGTCACTACATTACCTTACAGCACAGATATTGGCCACACTGCCACCATTGAAGTTGACGTTCCAATTCCTACCATTACAACTACCCAAACTTGGACTGGAAATGGTACAACCACCTTCACGAAAACTGCGACCCCAGGAGGAACAGCAACCGTTACAGTAGACATTCCGATTCCAACTGTTACAACTACCAAAACCTGGACCGGATCGACCACATTCACAACTACTCACACTGCAATTCCAGGGGAGACAGCTACCGTGGAGATTGATGTGCCAACACCAATTACCACTATCACATCCACATGGACTGAATCTGGTACTTCCACTACCACCTTACCATTTAGCTCTGGTGGAACTGAGACTATCGAAGTGGAAGTTCCAATTCCAACCGTGACTGTTACCAATACTTGGTCTGAAAGTACGTCATTCACCACAACTCACACTGCCCCACCAGGCGGAACTGCTACTGTTGAGATTGATGTACCAACTCCTGTTACCACGGTCACGTCCACATGGACTGGAACTGAGACCGCTACTACCACTTTACCATTCAGCTCTGGTGGAACCGAAACTGTTGTCGTTGATGTCCCAACTCCAACCGTTACTGTGACTACTACCTGGACTGGTACTACTACTGCTACTACTACTTTGCCAGCTACTTCTGGTGGCACTGTCACTGTTGAAATTGAAGTACCTACTCCTATCACTACCGTCACATCAACATGGACTGAATCTGGTACTTCCACTACTACCTTACCATTCAGCACTGGAGGAACCGAGACTATCGAAGTGGAAGTTCCAATTCCAACCGTGACTGTTACCAATACTTGGTCTGAAAGTACGTCATTCACCACAACTCACACTGCCCCACCAGGCGGAACTGCTACTGTTGAGATTGATGTACCAACTCCTGTTACCACGGTCACGTCCACATGGACCGGAAGTGAAACCGCTACTACCACTTTACCATTCAGCTCTGGTGGAACCGAAACCGTTGTGATTGATGTTCCTACTCCAACTGTCACTGTGACTACTACCTGGACCGGTACTACCACCGCAACCACTACATTGCCAGCAAGTTCTGGTGGCACTGTTACTGTTGAGATCGAAGTACCTACTCCTATCACTACCCTTACAACGACTTGGTCTGGATCTGAAACTACCACAACTACTTTGCCATTCAGTTCAGGAGATACCGAAACTGTCGAAGTTGAAGTCCCAACTCCTACTGTTACCGTTACAAGTACTTGGACTGGTCTTACTACATACATCACAACTCATGT